CATTTCTAAAGTAGATCCTTTTACACACATCTAATTTATTTCTTGTACATAGAAATGAAACCTAAAATACTTTTCACCTCTCTATCTAATGCACAAAACATTTAAAAAACTGTTGAATCATCGAGTTCAGGTAGGATTAAGAAAGAAATAGAAGAGTGTCTATGCTTAAATGTAATAAAATAATCTGAATAAAAATAAATTTTAGAAACAATATATACATTATATATAAATTTGTTGGAATAAGAAAAAATGTGTTTAAAATAATTTTCTTCAAACTTGAAATTCAATTGATTCATTTTTCATGCAAAATAGATAAAATGTATCAAACATTTGTCAATGTAATGTTAACAGTACTGTCGAAAATCATCGTAGTAATCGTTTTTAATGATAAAACAATTAAATTTGTATATCGTTCACGTGAAAATAGATTTTCGACGCGCGTCGTTTTTACCCAAGCGTCTTTTCATATGCCATCACTACGGTATCCTGTGTCTATTAGAGGGGAAAGTGTTTGAAAAAAAGATGGAGGATTAGTCCCACAAATCAGAATAATAGATGTCTCTCCGAGCAATGGAAGATACTCCCCTTACACTGCTACTTACTTGCGTCTTCTGCTTTTATTGGTGGGATCTATGGGACCGTAACAGGGAAGGGGAATGGAACGCTATGAAGGAACTAGCGTTGGGCATCAATGTATTGGCGTAGATGTTGAAATTTATTTTTACCTGCTCTTGATCAGTATACAAAAGTATATCTATAGTAAATAAGAAGGACTCACGACTATGTCTCTAAACTCCTTCCCAAATTTTTGGATTTAGATATAGTATAACTAAATTCGAAAAAGGATCTATTCTCCATTACCCACAATCCATTTGGAGGGTAAGGTGGTTTCCGCTCCGCTTAAAATTTGATCTCGTAACAAGTGTTATTGAGCAAACTTAAAACACATAAAGTTTGATTGTTATTCGAGTTTTGAGTTTTTTTTTTCTTTTCTCTAATAGAAAAAGTTATTCAATAATGGAAGTGGATTATTGTGAAGACGTAGATTGTGAAATGTTAGAGGTATGTTGATAATACGATATTTCATTTGATTTTTCCTACGAATATTTCATTCAAATGATGATCAATTTATATTGAATTTGTTGTTCTTTTTACACATTAGGTTGCGCAGAATATTACAAGTAATCAACGTTTAACTAGATACACCGGACCGAAACTCTTTGCAAAACGAAAACGAAAACGCTGCGCATGGCCATTATCGAAACAAAAAATTTATGTTGAAAAGAAGAGGAGGTGTTACATGAATGCAGATATGAGAAATACAATTATTCAATTTGAGAATCTCACTTTAGAGCCCAGTGTTTCAGAATGTGATCGTTCCTTCCCTGTTAATATAATAGATAATAGAAATATTGGATTCGGTTTGAATGGTTTCAACTTTGGGGATGAGAAAATGGAGGTGGATTTACCGGAAGATGAAGACGTCGACATGAGTGAATTTCAAAGTCATCATACTGGACGACCATCATGGACGTCCGATAATTATTATATGGATGACGACTACTATGGGATATTATTCAAATATTGGCATCCGATTATTCCGAGTAATAGTAACCCATTTATTGAAAACAATACAGACCATCAACCAATGGAGATAGAGTCTAATGATGACGATGACGCCGTAGAAATGATGATCGATTAAAATATTCTCAAGAAAGAAATAATAACTTAAGCCGAATAGCACCATGTGCTTTCTATTCTTACAAGAATATTCTAAAAAATGACCAAGCATAGACCATAGAAAAAAATATCTCTTACAACAGTTGTATTCAACTACTCTGAAACTTAATGGACCAATGTAACTAGTTACGAAATATCTCTAAACGATAATTTTAATTGAAATTGTTAATAATACAAAATAGACACTTAGCATAAGTCGTAATACTTACATTAGCGATAACACATGATTAACCATTAAGAAGATATTAAATGTTATTTTTCTACAAAGGGGTATTTTAGATGTCTCATGTCAGATAATGTTTTTAACATTTTTTTTTTGTAATTTTTATACAAACGCAATAATTGTAATATCTTGTCGAAAATCATTTAGTTTTAATATATGTATATCATATATTTTACACCAATCCTATCTTATACTTATCTACTTATAATTTCTTACTATGTTCATTTTTTGTCTAATCATACATTATTATATTATTCAATTAAGTTACATATTTAAGCATGTCCAGTCTTTTCTTTTTTCAAATATACAAATAAAAAAAAAACAAATTAATTGCACTTATCATTTATACTCTTCTTGTTTCTTCCTTAAAGAAATTCCTAAATAATCTATAATAGATATATATTAAGATGAACCCAAAAATTCGTGTGTTTATTGTCTTGAAATTGAACTTTGAAATTACATAATTGATCCTTTCTTGTAAAATGAACTTTTGAAATAATCATTTAAATATGCACAAACTTCTGTGTTAACTCTAATAAATAAAATTCGTTATTTTGATATATCAGAGAAAATATATTTTATTAAAAAAAGAAAAGATAAAAGAAAATCCTATTTGAAATAATTCATATACAAAGAAATAAAGGAATGCTTATCGCGTGAATAGTAAATGGTGCGATGATCCTAAATGCATGCCACGACTGCGTAGAGAAAAGTTATTAAAAAGCGTTGTCCCGTAACGCAGGATCATTTAAACCCCTCTCGTGACGCAGATTATTGTCGTCGTCGTCGTCGTCGTCGTCGTCGAGGACGACGTCGTTGACGTCGTTATGTTCGTCGCCAACGCTATCGTTGTTTCACGGAAGCTAGCCGAGTCACATAAAAGATTGCTATAGTCGTATATGAAATAAATGTCTCACACCGTTGCTCTCTTCTAAAGAAAAGAAAAAACCTGATAAAGAAAATGATAAAATGTAGAAATGATGGAATGATTTTCATTTTTAAAGGAAAAAGATAGAAGAAAAAGTATAGCAATGTATTATTTTCTTACATGTTTTATTTTTGTAATACTTGAAAACGTATGACAATAAAATGTATCTTAACGTTTTGATTAGAATTTTATTTGAAAACACATACATAAGTCTTGATGATTAACGTTGACATAACTACTTGTCACTGGTACAAAGAAGAACATTCTCATTTGTTCATACATTGGTAGTAAAGATAAATCAGCAATGATCGTACACGATAGATCATATCCTTTGACGTTAGTATAATATATTCGTAGATCTATTAATCGTAAATGTTAGATACATATTTATGTATGGTATGTACATAGATAAATAGGTTTTCATCCGAATTAAGATTTCGTTTAATTAATGATCGCGAATAAACAAATTGATTATGTATTATCGTTTCAACAATATTATGCACACGTATAATATTTATATATATATATAAATGTGTGTATGTATACTATAAATTTAAATGGTAGTACTATATATATATGTATATAGTACTTTTTTATTTTGTTTTGTAAAAATTAAAGTGTCAAAACTTGCTTCTTCTCTAAATCACAAAAAAGAAAAAAAAACACAAAGAATATATCCAATACTTATAGTACGTTAACTTAATTTTTAATTCTACGATGGTAGGTGTAAGTAAAATTTTTGTACTATTTAAAGAAAAAAAAAAAAGAAGGAAAAAAGAAAAATGAATAAAATAGAGTACGAAGAATTTAAAAGAGGAAAAAGCAATTTTCCAGAGCAATGATGTAGAAAATAGATGCAACACTTTAACGTTAAGGCAAATCGCAAAGTGTCAATGAACTTCACCCTTTCTTTCTTTCTTTCAGATCTTTTCTGTATCTTGCTATTTTTTTTCTTCTTCTTCTTTTTTTTTTTTGGGAAAGACAAGATGAATTTAGCAAACTAATTGTACAAAAATAAATGCTCTCTGCTTTTATTTAAAGCTTCTCTTTTACTTTTCACTTCCAATAATCATCTTTTCTCTCGTGTATTTCTCTTCTTTCTTTCTCTCACTCCCTGACTCTCTCACTCTCTCTCTCTTTATTTTATACTTTCGTTGTAGACAGTCATAGTAATTTGTTAACTTCACGCTAAGTTTGAATATTTTTCAAGAGATTTGGTTTCTATCAATACATTCATATAACACTTTACATTTACTCACACAATTGTTATTTCTTAAAACAATAAATACTCTGCTATAGTTATTTTGTATCCTTTCTTCGTTCTTTTAACTTATTTTCTTACTTAACTTATCTTATCGTTCGACGAAGATCGTGAATCAAAATATCATTTTAAAAACCGATCATTAAATTATCTTCTAACAGTATTCTAACTCGTTTAACTCTTTTCATTCCATTACGATGTATGCTATTGATAACGTTCCGATTGTTACTCCTCTATCTGTTAGAAATTATTTATTAACGAATTCGTTTATTTTTTTGTTTGTGATTACAATTTTACATTTATCATTTTTTTCCTTTAAAGATATTAAACAATGAATTTATCTGAGAAATCAATCTCGTTGTCGTTCGATAATTATTATGTTGTGTGTGTGTGTGTGTTTCTTATATTCATTGTTTTTTTTTATTTAAATTATCATCATGCATACTGTCTTTGACTTTTCAATTTGTAGAAAAAAAAAACCACCCTTATCTTTAGTTATTCAAACATCGAATGAATTAATCTAATAAAAAAGATAATAAGTACAAGTATCACATAGTATACATTTTAATGAGCCTCGTTTTTTTATTTTATATATTTCAATCGATTAAATATAAAACAATAGAAGTTCTAGGAGTAAAGTGTATGAATATGTTCACTAGTAGAACGTAAAATCAATATCACGAACTACTCTTAACCTTTATAATCTCGAGTTCTTGATACATTCTCGCTAAAAACAATGTTACATTAATGCGATTCGACTGGTTTTATTATAATATCATGACGGTAATAATAAAAACAAAAAAAAAAAAAAGAAAAGAATTAGGTGTAAATAAAATCGATATTATTACTCATTGCAATTGCAACAAAATAACCAAATACGTTGTTACCAATGAAGCTATCTGCAATTATATAATATATTATTATATTATTAGAAATGATCTTTGTGCATGTAATGATGCATTGGTTTTAATATGTAATTATTTGTTGATTAACAATCAACGCCCTGATTTTTGTTTACTTACCGAACGTATCAATGGTAACTCAATGCTAAAACATCCAGCTGCGGTGAATTGTAATTTTCGATTGATGTAATTTAGTGATCTTTCTATTGGTGCCTGTTATAAACAAAAAAAAAAAGAATTGGGAAACTCGCGTTCGCGTACATATAGATATATATATATTTTTGTTTTCTTTAAAATGCAATTATATAATAAAAAAAGGACTAGAAAGTATTGGAAGAAAGGTAGAGGTAAAAGATTCTTCCTACTTTTTTTTTTTTTTTACTTTTACTTTTTTAAGGAAGAGGAAAAAGAGGAAAAAAAGAAACGTATATAGAAAAAAAAAGGTTTTCCTTTTTCTCAAACGAAGGGAAAAAAAATGTTGATAGCTACAATAAAGTCGGTCCCCTTTTTTTTAAAATTTCGTAACCAGCGATATATTTTGTACAAATATAGACAGAAAAAAAAATAACTCCGAGGTTTGAAGACCAGATTTACGCCAGGTTAGAAAAAAAGGGGTTCACGTTACGTAAAGAATTTTATTTTAGGAAACGAATTCTATTCATGTTTTTATTTACCTTCAGAGAATTGTTTTTAATCAAATAAGCTTGCCATTCAATCATGAGTTCTCCTATACCGCTTGACTGTAACATTAGAATTTTGTTTGAAATTATAAAAAAAAAATATCTAAATGTTATAATTGTTAAATTTACCTGAGTAGAAGCGTAGTCGCAAGAAATGTGTAATATTAAAAGTTGAGAAGTGATAGCTAAAAACCAACTTGCTAAGCAAGCAACCGATGGAAAATGTAAATCATCCCAAGTGTTTAATATTCTATCTATGATAAAATATAAATCGCTAACACTATGAATACTCAAATTGGCTAACCATAAGAGTATAGCCCACGTAAACAAAGCATTCAAATTTTCTCCGTCAATCATAAGCTCGTTATGCCAAGCTTGTATAGTCTGAAGAAAAGAAAAATAATTAAAAATGTATCAAAATAAAATATTATATTAGAAAAAATCTATAAATCTTTCATATATATATACTTTAATATCAATTTTTATTGGTTGAGAATTGCATCTTTTCGAGGATATATATTTCTTTGTTAACTGATTGAGATGATGAAATCGTTGACCCAATAAAAATGTCATTCCAATAAATTTGTACACGGCCAAACAACTACCGAAATACAAGGACATGTAAGTTACATTGGAAAACCAGGTTTCATTAAAAGCATACATCCCACTTTGATTGACCAATGTCCATAGAAGGATATTCATCAATATTAACATCCAACATCCTATTTTAGTTTTAATTTCCTTTTGCGGATATCCTAATAATCTAACAGCGTCGTCGTAATCTTGCATATTGTTCCAAATTTGTACGAATTTATTTCTCGAGGTTACGGTTATCAATAAACTATATACCGTAGTGAAATAATTAAATATAACCTGTAATTAATAAAACAATAGATATATTCATAATAATTTTACATCATTTTTCCTATGCCAATATGAAAAATGATCGTTCCAAGTAGTAGGTCATGAATCTAAGCTTACGATTAATCTTGTCATAGAGTAAGAAGTATAATCGATGAAAGAGAATCCTATTCTATATATATGATTTATGTATATATAATATTCATTTTTTTTGTTAAATATAATCTATTATACCTTTATATATCCGGTACAACCGACGATAGGTGCTTGTCTCTTCGAAGTTAAAAATTGTATAATAATCGAATAAATGTTGTAACTATAAATGGAGAAAAAAATCAATGTAAATATCATATTAGTATTGGAAGGTACTAAACGATCTTTCGAAAACGTATACGGTACGAATCCAAAAATTCGCATTATATAAACTGCCGGATAAACGGCAATGTAAAGGGGTGAATCTCGACCACGAAATTTTTTCATTTGTCTTCTCTTAGATGTCTCAAAGGCAGTCTCCAAATCAAACGTTTTTGGTTTAAATTCCATTATATTATTTTTATCTAAAAAATAATAAGATATAAGTGTGTGATCTCTATATATATTTTATTCAATTTGAAATATTTTCTCTGTAAGGATATGGGAAAAATAATAAAACAAAACGTACCGTTATTACTGTTTATGGTCGGATACAGAATCATTTGTTTTCGTGATAGTTATATAAGAATCTTACAGAATGGTTCTTAGACACGAATCCCTCCCAAGAAGAAATATAAGAAATGATATATGTTGAATAATTTTTCTTAAATCGTATATTGAGTATCTTACCGCTTCTTTTTTATTTTATTTTAGATTTAGTTATCAGACAAATAAATCTAAGAGATCAATACAATATTATTATACAAATTATAAGAATTCGTTATTCTCTATCTATTATTTTTTTTTTCATTTTTGTATCAAGTCAAAAATTATAATACGTGTGAGTAGAGAGAGAGAGAGAGAGAGAGAGAGAGAGAGTGAAAGAAGTTTAGTAAATTCACCTATTTGATATCTTTTGAAAATGTGCATATAGAAGACCTTTTTTCATTGACGAATTTTCATTATCGCGCAAAATTTCGAATATATTAAATCGTACTTACATTTTCGTGATATTAAAATCGCACAGTGTAATTAAGATTTTTCCCTTGTACACTCAAAAATACGTTCACGCGCTATTGTTCTTTTTTCTGTCTCTTTTAAATATTAAAAAATAATCTATATTATTATTATTATTATTTTAATATTTTTTGTCTCTAAATATGATACAAACACACATGAATCTAATCACGGACGACTGCATCCAAAGGAAGTAATGTTACAATTACGTTCTACGTATGTTCGCGAATATGCAAACAGCATAAACAAGTATGTATTTGCGCACCTGCGCAGCCGATATTTACTTAAGTGATACAAGCAGAAATCCTTCGCATATGTATGTGTTATTCTAGGCAGTATATCCGTTGATGAATGACAGGATAACCGTAGGAGTGGTAGAAAAATTGACGCTTTTGGTACCACCATCGAGTAATATACTATTTTATGTTTCGATCATCGCGATATAACGTGCTGTTCTTATTCACCTGATACAAAATTCTATTACGATGGAAACATACTTTCTTCTTTTAAGGATTCTATAAAAAAATATATAAGAGAAACAGAGAGAAAACAACAACAACAATAAAAAAGAATAATAGGAATGATAAAAAATTTATCGTATACATAAATTTCAATGCGTTCTATACGAAAGATATATTTTTTCTTTTATTTCTTTTTTTCATTTTGTATAAAACAGTTATATTGTTTTCTTAAAGAAAAAAAAAAGAACTAAACTGAGATGCAGTTTGTGCATTTTCCTATTTCTCATTTATTCAATTTGCGAATAATTAATTTTAACTCATTAAGAATTAATTTTAGTATTTTTTTTTTTTTTTAATAAAATACCTCTCTCTCTCTCTCTCTTTTAACGCCGCTTCTCAATCCTCCTACCAACGCTATATTAATTTATTTTTTAAATAATTAATGTGACAAATTTTCATTACCAACACGATGTTGACAAACATAATGTAAACAGAATTTATTGCCAGGCATGTAATTTCGAGCCGTACTACGCGATATGTCATTTGATTATAATCAGTTCAGATGTTAGTACGTATAAACATCTAAGCTCAGCGCAAATATTCCTACTCTATAATGTTCACGTTTTTTTTATTAAATATATTATGTTTTATTCAATAGAGGATCTCCACGTAAAGCAGGTTTCGCGTGATGAAGAGACTTGAAAAATATAAATAAATAAATATTACTTGCATTATCAAATTTATTATATATTATTTTTAACAATGCTAATTATCTTTACTAATAATTTTTATTACAATGAAATATTACATATGTGCTAAAAAATAGTTATTAAAAATAAACAGTTGTAAAAGATTTATTAAGTGGGCAAGTATAACTACTTTATACAATTATCGTTCATTAATCATTCGATTTATTAAATATTTCCATGATTGATTTATACATATATTCTTTAAAGATTTAAAGATATCGATATATTACGATGATCCCATTGATAAATAAATTGATATTCATAATTGACATATAGATTTATTTTTAACACATTGAATAGTATCTAATGCAATTCTTAATAATTCTTTATGTATTGTATATATATCTTGTTTACTATTTATAATTTTCCAAGTGCCGTCATTAAGTCTATCGAAATTATAAGATACTTTTTCTTGAAATGCCATATTGTCATATCTTTCTCCATCCCACGTAGACAAATTTTGTATTCGATCATTAGTTTTGAAACAAGTTACTAAGTCCGGAGAAGGAAGTCCACGATCTGCTTCCTGACACCAAGCTAAACTTTTACCAGTAGCAGCTGATGTATATGCTGCGCCTGAAAATGCATATCTACAAAAATAGAAATATGTTCTTTTATTTCTTTTCTATCAAGGAAAAATGTTGTTAATCAATAATTTATACCTATCGAGAACCAATGTAGTGCCTTCCATAAGAGTTTTTAGAATATTTTGTTTACATTCCCATCTATTAGCTGAAAATAATAGATGTGCTGCTTCTGACGGGAATTCAATTTCTTTTCTTAAATATTTGTCTAACAATTCGCCTATCTCAGTTGTCCTATCTTTAAAAAAAACAAAAATACAATTGTCAATTAAAAATAAGTTCTACATTTACAATTACATTTTTTCCAATATTCGATTTAAGGAAATTTCAAATTTAGCGCGCTCTACTTATAAGGTTTAACCGCCAGAGAGCGGTATCAGTAATGACAGTATTTTTATTATTTACATATAATTAATCAGTTTAAAATAAATAGCGTGTATTTTGTTATAAATATAAATATCATTCAATTTTTTTCTTCTTCTTACATATTTTTCGATTAATTTCATAGTGATGAAAAAGAAAAACTAAATGATATCTGTTTCATCAAATAACGCAATATCCCGCCAAAAATGTCCACTGTTATAATAAGGTAAAAATTCTTTTATATGACAAATTTAAGGAATGTACAACTAAAATACAAACTAATGAATGATATAATAATATATTAATAATTAATATTATATTACTTAAGTGTGATATCTGCGTAAAATAAAATACTAACCTGGAAAGGATCTACCTATAGCAGGAATGCCAAGATTATTTAATGCCTCGACTAATAATTTTGCTTGAGTCGATTTTCCTACTTTGTCACAGCCTTCTAAAACTAATAAAGCTCCACGTCCACTCATTATTTTAAATTTTAATTAAGAAAATATTAAGAATCAAAAGAAAATTTAAGGAACAGATTGACGAGTAAGAATGAAATTACAGTTATGACATGTCTATCATAAAGCGTCCTCTTTTAAAAGTTAAATTTACGGGTAAGTTTTTGAATGGAAATTTAAAAAAATATAAAATTTATCAAAATTTATATATTCCTTCAGTTATAGTTTATTATTATAGTAATAGCAATATGATATCCGTTATTATATTATCAATATACATTATACATTTAATATTATCCATATTTCCCATAAACATACAACTTTGTTGAATTCTAAATTATGTATTTATATATATATATATATTTATACTTAGCATTTTAAATCAAGCCATTCGCATCATTTTTCAACCATCCTATACATATATAACATACCAGCTCAACTTAATACTTCAATATAGTTTGTTAACATTAATCTTAAAATCTTTGCATTTTGCTTCTCCACATATGATAATGTATCACCATTAGAGATTTTAGGTATATAGACATTGCATTAAAATAAATTTATTTTTATAAGGTATTTTTTTTATATACCAAAAATATAATATTAATATAATCTTAACCTCTTGTTGATATTAATATTAATAATATAAAAACTCATTATTTCAATGCAATTCAAACCTGACGCTCTACTTTGTTATATCATTGAATGTATAGTTCAAAAATTAGACATGCAGTGCACTTTTATTAATGGTATATGTAAGATTTGTCCTAATGAAAATGTTTAAAACTTTACGTGTAATACGAGGAGAATTGTATATTAAATCTGCTGTTAAATATTAACAGTAAAATTGACTTTCGAATTTTTCTCCAAGCACACAACTTATAATATTTCAAATATTTACAAATCTTTTAAATACCATGTATATATAAGTACACAGCATTTCACATATTCTATTGTAATCATGCTCTTGTAACTTGTAAATGTAGTATTTCAATTTATTACTATGTCATAAGAATAAAAATGTGTACAGGAATTTATATAGCAATTAAAAGAGAAAAATTGTTAGCGCACCATTAATCGGCAAGTATAATACAGAGATATCATTAATATCTTATTTAAAAAGAATGAGATCCATAAAATGATGAACCTTAAAACATTTTGTCATAATCGCATCGTTATAATACTTTGATGAACGAAGTTTCAAACAGTGATATCGAAAAATAATATACATTTTCATTAAATATAAACACCCAGCAGTAATTAATAAAATAATCTTAAAGTAATTTTGTATTCGTAGTAAGTTATGCATACACTTTATCAATTCAAAATTTACATTATATTTGTACATATTGATTTTTCTTTCTTTCACATAGGCATATAACTATTGATCATAATGAAGGTTTACTTAGAAATGGATGCAAATGTAATGTAGAGTTCAGATTTGTTTGTTATTATTGATAATAATGTTATTAAACCTCCATGATAATTTTGCAATCAAATAATAACAGCAATCTTGCAAATGAGAACAAGACGCACGCGTAATTCGATTAAATAATAAAATTCACGAATATGCATTAAAAAAAAAAACAACACGAAACTTTAATCTTTTTACTTTCCTCATTTCACAATTTCACAACCTTTAGGATATTTAAAATTGTATTGAAATTATTAGGAAAACATTTTGAATTACAACATTATTCCGCCATAAAAACTACATTATATACTATGCCTTTTTCCTCTCCTTTACAATCTTATAGGATGGCAGTTACATTACATTGGTGTATCAATATCTTAATAATTTATCTATTATTAACAATACTTATTCATCCTTACACATTAATAGACAAAATTCATAACATTTCTGTTTTTTAACATCCTTCAGTTTACCCTTTTCATTCTTGTAGTTTTGCCAGCATATAAAATCAGACTTGGTATTGTAGCACATACCCAAGGCCATTTTTAATATAATATATTTGTATAATCACTATGTTATAAACTCTGTAGCATTTCCATTATTTATTACATAGTTTTCACAAAGGACCAATTATTTATATTTGATATAAATTATATATAATTGCAAAAAAGAAAAAATTATTTTTACTTTTCATTAATAATTATTATAATTTGTTCTTAAATAAATAAGTCCTTTGCAAGCATGCATTCTGAGGAATATTTTATTTATATAGTTTGCATTTAATTTATTAATTCTTTTAAATGTTTTAAAACAAAATAAATGTATATAATAATATTTCAGCATAGATATTAACAAGATGACAAAAGTACCATAGTAATTTCAAAGATAATATATCCATTCATTTTAAAGATAGCGATATTATTTGACAAAAAAATAGAGTTTCAAAAATATATTTAAAATATTAGATGAATTAAAACATCAATGCATTACCAATTGGAAAGTAAAAAGTATTGTATTTATGTTTTCATCAAAGTATAAAGTAATTTTCTAAGAGGGAATATTACAAAAGGATATTTTTAAACAGAATAATATATTCCCCTTAATTAAGAAGCTATTGCATTGCTCACTAATTGTCAGAATGTTTCAATTCTAAAATTAAAAGTAATTGCTTATTTTTTTTTTGTATTTTACTAATATATAACTAGACTTAATAATAATTCTGAAATTTTATCTAAATTTTCTATCTATAATAAAATTTCATGATTCCTGATTATTATGCTATTAAAAATGGGTTCGTTTCGAAATCTAATTGTAAGTTAAAAATCTATAATATGTTGACAGAGTTTCAGCCAGCCGTACACCAATAATATACACTTTATATAATAAATCCAACTTGTATGAGACACAAGAAATTCGTTTAATTAACAATTATTCTAATAAGAATAAGTAATCGAACTTATCATGGATATCCAGTATGTTGCACGTTCTTTCATTACACGATTCTTGATATTACCGAGTTTGTTCATTGGTCCTTAAAAATAAAAATATCTTTAGTATAATTTATAGTAGACATTTAAAAGTAAACCTTTAAAAATAAAAAATTAATACAAATACATTAAATTTAATAAATCGTTTAATATTTTTAATACATTCGGCATTATGTCTATTATTTGTAATGAACTAAAACATAGCTTTATGCTGAGTACTCATATGTATACTAAAATTATGAAAATAAATGAATATGTTTGATAATTAAATAAATGATTCGATGCAGAATATATTAATGCATATTAATATTATTTTTTTAAATGTATTTACAACATAGTACAAAAATATGAACAATGAAGAATTGTCTATTTATTTTGGAATATAACTTATATAAAATAATGTATGTGCAAAATAGTGATACAAAAAGCAGTTAAATTAAAATGATATATTACTTAATGCATAACTATACATTGCAAGACCAAAACCAAATATACATCCTTCACCAAGCTTTCCCTAAGCTTTCCATATTAATTGATAATGTAAAAATGGTATATCTACATGACTTTATAATATGTAGAAAAGATTAATCTCTATTGCTGTAGCTTATTTGTGTTTTGACATTAATGAATTATATTTGTAACAAGTAATTTAAACAGACTCATATTAAATTGTATACAATAACATTTTTAGTATAAATATAATCATAATTATTTTCATAAATATTTTCTTACGAAAACACTTTCATAACTGTTTAAAGTTAGCGTATTGTATTACCTTATTCCTTTGAAGAAGCCGCGGATCCCTCATTGTGTAACTCTGCACCTCTCGCGATAATGAGCTGGTTGAGCTCCATCGAGAGAGCTATATGCCATATACAACATAATAATGTTGTCTCACTAACTAATACTTGTCATAATATTAAGTATCATATATATTTATATATATATTCACTTTTTATATTATGCACATTATTACTGTTTTAGAAAATATGTCATGTAATTTCTTTCTATATGTTTTTGTTAACGACCCTTCAATAGATTGTTTCTAATAAAATTATAAGTCAATTCAAATTTTTGTAAATACATTTTCATAAGAATTCAATATATTTATCAATTCATTACGTTGTGGAATATAAGATTGATTACTATTGAAAGGTGTACATGCATTAATTATAATAAATTGATATGTTAATTATTTTACTCGTATTAAAACAATATGCTTTACGTCAAACAATTATGTTTGTTTGTACACACGTGCAAAAGAAATTAATAATAAAATAATAGATAAATTTGATCGATTAATATCTAAAAAGAAAGATAGACAGAAATGTACACTAAATAAACTAGCAAAACAATAGAAGAGTAAAAACACTTATTTGTATAACAGCATTTTTAAGAAGCATTCTAAATTTTAAATATACAAAGAAAATAAGTTCCCAATATTGTGAATATACATTAAACAATTGTGACAAGACATGCGTGTTAGGTATGAAATAACTCAAAATTAATAAAATAGATATTCTTACTATCAGCAACAATTATTATTTGGCTACATCATTTTGCCTCCCCGACTGCTTGCAAAAGGAAACAAAAAGAAAGATTGATTAAACACATGTACAAGAAAATATTCTATAAGAATAGTTAGAGATTTGATGAAATATTATTCTTCTGCAATATAATTATTAAAACAATAGATCGTCTTTCGATCATATGATCTTTTAATTAATAAATAAAAATGTAGACAAAACTTGAACAAAACTTAATGTTGAGTATCCCAATACTTGCTTATCACATTCAACCTTTATCCTGTTACTTTGTGTATCTTATTTACTTCTATTTCAAGATAAGTAATCAAATTGTTTGCTTAGTAATTGGACGATAAACAGGAACAATTAATTTAAAAGAAGTTAACACATTTATACAGAGCTATAATGATTTATTATATTCTAATTTTTAAAAAGTATACCAAAAAAATTGACATCATAAATTTAGACCAAAAAAAGAGATATATAATTTTAATATTAATTTTTTACTTTTCATTCATATTTAAATCATTATTGCTCTGTTTTGTGCACAGATACAAATACACAGGAAGTCTAAAGGAAAATTAGGACTTATTTTAGCTGATTTAGACAAAATAATTTCTAAAGAAACAGGAAAGAAGGGTATTCAAGTGTTTTAACATTACAGTTCCCAGAAGATGTTTAAAGAAAAAACTAAGCTGCATACCAGCATACTGCAGCCACAACGCAAGAATAAGAAATAGTATTGTGTATGTTGTGTTTCAAATGGAAATTATTTAAGATGGAAAACTTATATGAAACTGTACTGTTATTATTGTATATGTGTTAACTATTAAAATAATTTATAAAAATCATATTCAAAAATGTAAATATCATGTCCAACTTACTCCTTGATTTACATTTTCAGTGGGGTGAGTAGCAGGTATACTTGGTGCTGGAATTGGTGTTAAAAAGTCGACGGGTGCATTTGGATCATTTACTGCAATATCAAATAATGAAATGTATTTGTATCATTACATTTATGAATCTTTAAAATTTCCATAAACAAATATAGATTAATTTTGTTTTACCTGGTGCAGGAATGAATAATTGAGGAGATGATACAGCCATAGGTACAAATGGAGATGTTGCAGGCGTTGGTACACTCGGTGATGCTGCACTACTTTTTCCACCATTCCGATTCATTACATCTACATAATTAGCACGCATATTTCTTCCCTTCTGTAGTTTGAACATATTGTAGTTAGTCTGTACTTTAGAATCATTTACATTCATTGCCTCTTTAGATGGTTGATTTTGTTGTAAGGTAAGTTTAGGTGTATTAACTTGTTCAATTGATGGTGGTCTGAAACCCATGTCAGTTGCTTTTGGTGGTGGAGGCAATGATGTTGTACTAGTATCCGCATCTTCGTCTTTATTTATCCATCTTTTTGCAACAGGATCCCAAACAATCTGTAAAAGAAAGTATTTAAATTAATTATATGTGTATATTATATTAATTATAGTAGAACATGCTGTAGCTTATATATAACTTTGATTATTCAATTATACATAGGGCTTATGAAGTTTAAATCTTGCAATATTTCACACGTTAACAATGCAATTTCTACTGATAAATAAACAATGAAAAAGTTAGTAATTAATCAATCAATTTATCAAAGCCAAATAATACTGGCCTGCTTATCTTCCATTTAATCACTGATGATCAATTACCACAAAAATCCGCGTAAGCCCTTAGTTACATAAAACATAAAATTGTCTATCGTAACTTTTCTATTATTTAAGAAAATAAATAGTCTATCATAGATACGTTACCGTAGGATTACTATCATCTGGTAGTATCATTTGATTACGTGGTTTCGGGGCCAATTTACTGAAAAGACCTCCGAACCATGAACTACCTCCATTAGTTTGTTTCTTTTCACTATTTTTATCAGATGTCTTCTTAGTTTCTGTCGTAGATTTAGCACCTTGTCTTGGTGTTTCTAAGGCATCTAGCTCCTCTAATGGATCATATTGTTTACCCGAGGAAGGTGTCATAGAAATTGCTGGTTGTATTTGCTGAAATGAAATACATAAGTCATAATCGCAAATTTGTTCTTTAAATTTCATCGTATATAAGTTAATGTCTAAGTGATTATTTGCATAAGTATTAAAATTATTTATTTATGCAATGAATAACAAGAAAATCTTGTTTCTCATATTTGATATATATTTATCAGTTAAAAATAAATTATTTATATTACTTGTACTAATAATATAATAATAATATTTAGAAACACAAATATATCATTCTTTTTTTTTTAATTAAGAATAAAGGCAAATATAAATGTTTAAAGACACAGTGGTATCACATAGTATAATAATTTTTATTTTCTGCTTACCATAATAACATATTTGTGTGTTCATATATGTATATATATATATATATATATATATAATGTATGTGTATTATATATACACATACACATTGTGTGATAACGAATACATAAACTGTAGTATAATGCAACTTCTAATAAAATATTTGAAAACATTTTCTATACAAATTGTTCACACATAATATGATACTAAACAGTAATAATATTCTTATACAAAAAAACTTATATTAGCCATGACACTGCACAGTATAATTAACAACACTATTTCATTTTATTATATAGAAATGGAATGATGATGTTTATAAGAAGTACGCTAAATATTCTGTTGGTATTATATAATCTATTCACAATATGTAGGAACATCAATATCATAATTTTTAGAAATATGTCTCTGAACGGAATCTGTATCTGTTAATGAATAATGATTGTTTTCAGATGAAATTGGTACATCTATTGGATAAGTTCCTCTAAATATTAATGGTTTATATTGAGATAAATCTTTACTGTTAGAATATGACCATGCATCTACTGTATCACAAATAACATCTTTTCTTTTCATGTGAGGTGCCACTCTTACAACCTTTTTTTCTTCAAAAGTACAATACTGCTCTAATGTCTGACCATTATTATTATTATTATTGCTAGTATTATTGTTAGTATTATTGTTGTTTAAATTTATGCTTTCTGATAACGTGTCAAATGAATCATCAAAAGAATTAAATTGTGCAATATCAAACTGAATATCTAAATCTGTTTTTTGTGAATTAATTTGCATTTTTTGATTTGATGCTTCTTCGATTGTATCATCTGTAGTCTTTTTCTTTACTTTACATTTCAAGAAAACGGGAGATTGCGAAGAAGGTGGCTTAATATATTTCGGATCAATTTTCTTTGATTTCGATATGTCTTTTGGATGAATTTTATTACCATGTAAAAGTTTTGGATAAGTGGTAGATATTTTAGGATATTTAATAAATTTTTTAGACTTTTCGACGTTAATTTCTGAGCTTGCAGGGGTATGAAAGCGTGAAACCATTGTAGTAGAATTAGATTGAGATATACTATTTAAAAGTGATGTTTCAGAAGAGGCGCAGGAATCTAATGTAGTCAGTACTTTACGGCGACGTAAGGTGCTATTACTCTTGCCATCCAATGGCCATTCAGAATTGAGATTATTACCCAGAGTAAGCGTGTAATTACTTACTTCAGGAGTAGATGTTTTTTCTTCTCTTTCCGTCTGTCCATATGCAAGCATTAAGAAATAGATAAGATATTATATTCCTAATTAATTTTAATTAAAGCATTGATATTTAAAATCAGGAAATAAAAGCTTCTCAAAATGGGCAAACACAGACAAAAGTAAAATGAGTAATAGTTACAGTATAATGTAACAATATTACATATATATGCGTATATATGTAAACGATTATATGAAAAATGCACTCTTCTATTTATCCTATAAAATATTATTAAGAAATATTCAGTTTACCTCATAGTTCCATTTTTCTTGTTGTTGAGAATTATCCATGTCAGGCTGATCGTCAGCGTATTGAACATGAGTAGATTGTTGCTGCCAATTAACTGTACCGCTTCTACCAAAGTTATTTTCATAATATGTTTGCTGTTGATTCCAATAATCTTGTTGCTGAGGTTGTCGATATTGATTATTTTCACTATTATTACGCATATATTGTGTAGATTGATCGTACGTATCTTGCTGCATAGTTGATGGTAATGATACTGGTTCCCAGTTTGACTGCATATCTGCATTTATAACATTCATCCCAGACGTTGGTCTATCTCTATACTCAGTTTGATTAGATACCCATTGTTGTTGTATTTGTTGTTGTTGTTGTTGTTGTTGTGATTGTAATTTATTATCATGAGTATCTTGACTTTGTACATCTTCGTTTACTTGTGACTCATATGTATTACTTTCAACTATTTCTCCTATCTATAATATTATAGAAAATAATTATCTTCAAATATCTTTTTTTAATATTATAATTTTGTCAATTAAAAAATAATATAATACGAAATATTATACCTGACATTTATTTACAATCTTTGCTAAATTATTTAACCAAATAAGATTAGCAGCATCTTCAGTAGAATCTTTGCAAACAGGATCATGATATTTAATTTTATCGCCCAATGCATAAACTGACATAATAAAAGACCTTTTATATTTTGACGGTTCATTAAAAATATTAACTGCAATTTGTTCTATATAAAGTAATGCTTTTTCTATCAAGCCATAATCAACCATTTTAACTGCCAAATCAAATTTAAAAGTTTGAAGATCTACCGAAGTAAACCCAGGCTCGCTAAGATTACGAGCGTATTCATAAATTTCTGTTAGCATAACAGCTTCTGTTGTCATAAATTCGGAATATGATTTGTGATGATTAGAGCCTATTAGAACAAGTTTTGCTGAATTTATTCCATATGCGCTAAAATCAACTTGTGCCAGAATGTAACAAAAATGAGCAGCATAGATATCCCCTCTCGCAAAAAGAGTATCTCCGAGTGTTGTTATTGATCGTCGATTAATTTCAGGATTAGCAGATGTATTTGAAATAATCATAGCTAAGTGAGGTCTCCAGTCGTCCCATCGTGGATCTGCTACACTCTGCAAAATAGAAATCAATATCAATGTATTAATTGTATTATGTGTGTAATCCAATTACATTCAAAATGGTAAATTCTTACTGTTACAATAGTTGGTATGCGACCAGAGTGCAACTGATATAAAGTTTGTAATGGATCAGAAGGTGATAAACTATTTGCAAATTGTGTCATTACTGATGCATGAGTACGCTTATCTAATTTGCTAGCTAAAAAAAGTGCATGTCCCCATAATCCTTCATTCATAGCATATTCTGTAAAATATTATAAATTTATATTAATAACTACTAGATTTTTAAATTAACAAAATATATATATATATTTATGATTATATAAACGTATATAAAAATATACCTAATGCTTCTTGAACTAATCCATAAAGAAGTGTATTTCTAAATTCATCTGTCATTTGTTCTACAGTTTTCTGCTGTTTGATATTTTCTACTTTTTCAGCAGTTAATAGATTATCTGCATTATTTCCATTTGCACTTGTTCCAGATCGCTGTGACATCACAGACTCTCTTCTTCCTGTATCTTGCAATTTTTGTTTATTTACATCATAAGGATAAGCATCTTTATTTCTAAGTAAAAGTGCTGCTATATCAACACCAACAACATTCTGAAAATTAATTTATAATTAAATCACTTTTCTTCTTCCTCAATAATTATTTTTCATATAAATTACTTACGCCATTTTGTTGGATTAACATAATCATTAATTCATATAAAAGTATATAAGAAGCGCGATCAATCATATCATCGTTCGCTGTTGCTGTTTTAATTTTATTTTCGCAATATTTAATTATGGTTTTTTTGTGCGTTACTCCTCTACAAAATAAAAATCACAATTTATTAAATTATTATTTCTATGCGCACACTTGAAAAATAGAAAATAGAAAAACATTAAATTAATCCAAGATATACATGCATAAAATGTAATGTTATTAATTACACTTGCTTAATTAGAGGTCCCGGATAGGCACGTAAATCGCGTGCAACAGGATCATGCAAGAGCAGATTTTCCACTCGTAAAATGTCCACTTTAGCTCTCTCACCATCTGCTGGATAACTAGGTTGAACATGTATTATTGATCCGACAGAAAAAGATCCTGAAAGAAAGATATATTGTTAATAGAAATAATGAAGTATATTATATACCTAAACTATCGATAAGTATATTAATACAATATTTGCACTACAAAATAATAAGAAAACTTTACCATATACATGGCAAGTTGAAAATTTTGTTGGTGTTAGTCGTGCAGATGTTGTTGTTGAGTCTTCAAACTGTGACATATGAGCTAAGGTTCGTTTATCTCCAGTGGTTCTAAAAATAATACCTAATGTGTTGTTATATCTTTCACAATATTTTTCATTATTTAAAAAAAAAATAAAAAAATATACATAAAATATATTAATTGCAGCGTATACAATATACATTATTCACATTATAAAAAATAAAAACCTATAAAAAGCATTGTCCTAGCTACAACATATAATTATAATGTGACAAAAAATATATATATTAGAAAAGAAACTTTTTCACCAAATATTGTCTACTAAAATTAAATTCTTAGATATATTTGTGTAACATGATATTTAAACAGATTCTAATTTTTATCACATTACAGACTACAATTTATTTTAAATAACTAATAGTACATTCTATATATTTTGGCAAATATTAATGCTAAACCGAGAGAAATAGGTCTCTCGGTCTCACCTATGCAAATTGTGACTAGAAGTTCTTCTCTGTGGAAAATTCTTCCCCCATTCAGGATAACCAAAATATGAAACGTATAGAGCTTTGTTTGGTGAATGGAAGCATGCACTTGAATTTGTACAAAATCTGATATATTACAAGATTCAGACATTTATAAAAAGACTTAGAATGTTCACTTATGCATTCAGTTATTATACATTTATTAGATTCAAAAGATTAATCAATAGTGCTTACCGTTCCTCACAAGAACTGCGTCCTGAATGTACACTAGCCCTATCCTCTGGATAATTACTAACACCTCTAGATATGTGCTGCTGTTGATGATGGCTAGCATAATATTTGTGGTACCATTCTGAATAAGCAGCGGGATTGGTACGACGTAAATTCTCAAGATATGCGTAATAATTGTTACCATAATGAGTACTATAGTCGTATCCACCATATCCTGAAAAAAATAAAAAAATATACATATAATTTTCTGATAAAAAATATATATTTTTTTACTTTGACATATCACTTGCCATTGTAAGCATAGTAAAGATCTCTAGAACGCATGTAATATTCCCTATCTCTGTCGTTGTAAGAAGATCTGCTGGAAGGTCTAGAACTGAAAATAATTATATTGAAAAATTAATACAAAGCTTTTCAATTCTTCAAATGTAACAATAAAAGAATTTGTACATTTGTAGCATTCCTATTTATATTTCAAAATACCTTCTGTTATAAGGATCTTCATAATATTCTCTTCTATACGAATCTCTAATATCATAATCATCGTATCTTCTAGGTCGTCTGTCGTCCCTTCTTCTTTCACGACCGGGGTATTCTCTATCTCTAGCATATCTCAAATCGTAGTCTCTAGTTTCTCTATCCCTTCTACGTGGATCATCGCCCCTATCTCTCCTACGCGGATCATCTTGCCTTCTTCTCCCATCATCTGTCTCATCTTTAACTCTGTTTCTTCTTTCTATATCATCCCTTGGATGACGATCTAAATCATCACGACTATGATGCTTACGATCATCATCTCTATAAGAAAGGTCTCGACGTTCGAAATCATTGTACGGTCTTTCATTATCTACACCGCGTCGACGATCGTAATAATAATCATCATCATATTCACGTTCACGATCGTAACTGTAAAAAATTTATTTTTTTTGTATACATTAATAATCTGTTCTACTTTTTGACGTTTCATTAATTTATAAACAAATATTAACATGACAACTCACTATGCATTCTTTCTTTCGTAATCATAACGTCTACGATCAGGACTGGCATCTCTGTGTCTTTCTCTACTATCTTCTCTACTGTTACCAGATCCTTCATCGTCTTCATTTTCATACGAATCTTTACGTATAGATGGTACTTGAACACTTTGATTACCTCCTTCAGATGCTCCAACTGCTTCTTCCCGTTTATTTCTAGAATCACTGGGTTGATCCGAAACAGAGGCTGAAATATTCAGTTAAGAAATGTAAAAATTTGAATAATCAAATGATCGACATATAATATCGATATATGTTTGTAAACATTTTTTATATACTTACGAATAGATAAAGGAACTTCTTGAGATCCTGTAACTACTCTTCCTGTAGATCTATCATCCGAGGATTGAATGGTTTCATTAGGAGATGCACCTCCTGGAATTTGTCTAAGTCCTCCATCCGATTGTTGTGCAACATCCTCAAGTTCATTGCCTCTTCCAGGTATTTCACGTATTTCACTTGATTCCAGCATTATTTGAGATTGCATCTGATATCTCTCTTCTCCTGATGGATCATTTCTAGATTGTTGTGGAGGCAAAGAACGTTCTCTACCGGAAGGGTCATTCTGACGTTCTAATGTATCTGATTCGCTTCGAGAAAGAGAAGATATACTTCTTTCCTGACCAGGCGGAACATCTCGACGTTCGGATCTGTCAGATATATTTCTAATTTGTAATCCTTGTTCTTGTCCAGAAGGATCATTTCTTCTTGGATCAGATAATCGCTGACCAGATTGTATATATTGCTCTTGCCCAGCAGGATCATTTCTATCATTTCTAGGATCAATGGAACTAGATTGACCAGGAACTTCACGTAGAAAAGGAATATCGTTAGGGACTTCATCGTTTTCATCATCCTGATTCGGTGGAGATAATTCATGATCGGTATGAGAATCTGTTAATTCTCCTGTTTCTAAAAATGTGTTTCTATCGTTTGAAGCAAATTCATAATTGTTTAAGGCCTAAAAATTAAATTTATATTATATTCATATTATTTTATTAATACAAGAAATATTGTAATACATAAAAGAAACATACTTGTTCCTGTTGTAAAGATCGGTGACTTTGTGTGTGCTGTTGTATAGAAGGAACTTCAATATTATTTACTTCTTGTCTATATTCACGTACGTTAACTGTTTCTTTTTGAAGATTTGCAAGGGCGTTAGGATCATTATCTAATGTTTCCCTATTTATAGAATCTCGAGATCCATATATATCACGTTCTTCTAGTGCAGGTATAACTACTTCTAAATTAACAAATTCGGAAGGCTGTTGAATGTTTTCGTAATTTTCAACACTTTGTTCAGGCCATTGTTTTGATCCACGTATGTTATCTTTCGAGAACCACGAGTTTTCAATTGGTGATGGTATAGCATTATTGTTATACCATTGATCATACATATTAGGTGGTGCATTATCAGTAGCAGCTTTATTGGTATTTGTCTGATACATGCTCGAAACTGCATGTTCATGTGGAGCAATAGATTGTGCATCGACAGATTGAAAACTCTCCATGGATTTAGTATAATCTGCAGTTGACATAAATATATTATCTGGGGTAACAATATTTTGAACATCACCAATATAACCTGAATGTATTTGTTGCGTGTGTTCTTCTGAAAGTCCTGAAGAAAAATAATCCTTCGGGTGGTTCGGATTTTCAGGGTTATTTCTTTGCTTGTTGGAAAGATTTAATTGATACATTCCAGTAATTATGCTATTCGATTGCAAAAAGTGATCATGTAATAACGAAATTTGTGTATGTCTCGAATAGAGACAGTGTACCAGCTGGTGAAACTCAAAGGGGCCCCATTGCGTTCATGGACCTTTGGACGTTCACTCACCTAGCTATAGTCTTTCGCGTTTTTTTCCATAAACAAGTTTACACATTATACGAAGACGAAAGGTCAACTGTCAAGATAATATTGCACGCATAAGGGAAAAATAATCAATTCGTTAACTACTTTAGTACAGACGTTTTTGACCGAAAATCAGATAAAGGGAATCACAACGCACACATTTATATATTCACGGATACCTTACATCGGTGTGGATGTGGGTTAAGCACGTCACAAATTTTCCTCGTTGACTTTCCACGTGAGCAGAACCGTAGACGCATCGTAGTTGGACGAATAATGCACAAACGTCTATCGAAGTTTCTTTCAATTTGCTGCTAGACGTCGCTAGTTGTACGCTTCACCCAATGCATTTTATATTGCATATTGCATAATATATGTATAAATATATGCATAAATTTTGCAAATCCACGCTTGTCAGACTTTAGACTTCTACTATCTTCAATAAAATCTATTAATTATATATATAGCGCTTTATAAAGATGAATTTTCAAGCAACATAGAACAAAACATTGGATAACATTTCTTATCTTTTAAAAATTTAAATTAATTGTAATGAAATCTGATCAGATGTCGCAATAAGAAATAAATTTGAAAATCAGATACCTTCTTATTTGTTTTCTTTCAATAAAATGATTGTCATCTTATTATAAAACAATTCAATAATCACTAGCTGTTGTACAATTGGAGAATACTCCTTATGTAAAATGTAATTAGATAAAAAAAGTATAAAGCAAGATTATATCATTGATTTATTCGATAACGATGAATCTCGCGCTTTTTGTAGTCCAAAAAAAAACAAGACAAATATTAGCCTATCCAATAAATTTATATTGTTGTTGTTATTGACTTTATTTTACTAATTCTTTATTTGTTTATTACGAGAATTTCTACGTAAACCATATAAAATAATTCACGTATATGTATATACATATATATTATGAATGCTAGTAATTAATTAAATATTTTATGTTAAGGAACTTGAAAAATGTGCAACGTAGATAATAAAAAGTTTTCTACTGACGTGGTAGGTTGCAATTGGACGTTAGTGAATCGGCCACATCCACGATCAGTTGCGCCTAAATGGATGTTGAATACTGAACTTTCGAACGTGAAAACAAAGATATTGTGTGATTATTATTGTTTCAGATTGAGCTGTTAATTAATTTATAATAAAATGGTATTATTAACAATGATAGCAAGAATAACAGATGGGCTACCATTGGCGGCTACCATCCAGGAAGATGAACAGGTTAGAAATCTGTTATGATGAAATGTCATTTTAAACCATATTTTATTATCTATCATTTTACAATAATAAGTAAATTTTTGTCGAATGATGTTAATAATTAAGTATTACGTATATATGTTAATTAAATTTTATATTCTTTTTTTTTTTATCATTTGCATCTGCTTAGAGCGAAAGAAGTACTTTGGAATATCAAAATCAAGCGAAAATGTTGTTTAGAAAATTGGGTATACAGTCACCTACAAGATGTACTATAGAAACTGGACCATATCTCTTTCAGTAAGTTTATCATAATTAAATAAATAATATAAATATATATGTACGTGCATTCTCTTTAATCTTAATGTCTTTTTTTTTACAGTTATTTAATTGAAAACGAGGTATGTTACTTAGTATTATGTGAAAGAAATTATAGTAAACGAATAGCTTACAGTTATTTAGAAGATATAGCACAGGAATTTCATGCTCAGTATGGTAAACGTCTCAATACCGTTGCTAGGCCTTATGCTTTTATTGAATTTGGTATGTAATCAAAATTTGAACAATATATCACATATATTCATTGTTCATTGATATAATGTAACATGAATTTTGGTTTTTTTAGACACTTACATTCAAAAAGCTAAAAAAGTGTTCTCAGATGGTAGATCACGTAGGAATATGAATGCTCTTAACACCCAATTACAAGATGTTCAAAGGATCATGGTTCAAAATATTGATGATGTATTACAAAGAGGAACGGTACTTTCAGGTAAATTAATATAATTTTATATACATATATATATATATATATATATATATATATATATATATATATGCATACATACGACTATATTTTTCATCCTTTGCAGAATTGGATACAAAAACGCAGAATTTGTCAATGTTGTCACAAAAGTATAAGAAAGATGCAACACATTTAAATAGCAAGTCTATGTATGTCAAAGCAGTTGCTATTCTCGTCGTATTTCTGGTCCTCCTGTTATATTTCTTTATTCTTTAGTTGATCACAAACTTGAAACAATGGTTTATCCATAAACGAAGATTGTTCCAATCTAAAAATTAGGAACACACTTTATTATGAGGGTTAAAAAATGGGTTTGCGGCTACCATCTTTGGATTTTATTTTTCAAATATATAGAAATTACACAATCAGGCTACATTGTTATTATCAAGTTTGTTAGCCTGTATTTATCAACACAATGTTGTGTACTATACATTGATTTTTAATTTAATATTAATAAAATAATAGAAATTTTAATATATAGAAAACACAAGAGATGATTTAACTTCGTTTTTAATATATATATAAATCAATTTTCAAAGAGATACAATGTATAAATTATCACTTTGTAAATTCATTATTAGAATTTCAATTTATGAAAATTTATTTTCATCGCATTTCCTATAATTTTGGATTCTTATCTTTAAGGTATTTATTAATAATTACAGTATTTTTGGGTAATGTACCAGGAATTAAATATATATAAGTATACATATTAAACTTGATGGGAAAAGAATCAATCAAATTGTGCCAGTTTACTGAAGATAGTATTTATAAAAAAAATAGTAGAATTCGATAACTAAATTCTAGCCGTGCATTTGCATGAATAAATTATTAGAGCATATAAATTAACGGATATAAATTTACTTACTTTTTCTTGTTATTATTAAAATTACTTCCATACATAAATAATAATATATTAATATACTATTGTACTGTATTGATCAGTTCATCATATTTAGGTATATCAAAACTAGAATTTTTTCTTTCGTGTTCTCTACCTTGTTGTTTATTACTCGCAATATCTAATTCTTCATCAGACTCTATATTAGTATTAAAAAAATAATTTACAGGTTCATTTGTGTTTTGTTTTTTGTTATTGCCTTTGTCTGTATGCGACCATTTACTTTTTTGTTGAAATTTTTTCTTAGGAAAAATTTCCTCATCGTCTTAAAAGAAATATCCAAGAATTATAATCTATATATTTTATTATTATTATTTAAATATGAATTATAAATATATGAAATATCTTATAATATTTACCTGTGTCTACAATTTCATACATATCTATATGATGTTGCAAAATTACGTATAATGTCGGAAATTCAACCACAGTTTTATTTTCTAAATTTTCCTTCAGTGTAAGTGATACATCTAACTCGTGGTATCTAAAATGTATCACATTGTTATTGAAGTAATTCAATATTTGATTCACAGTATATATAATCACATACACAAAATTTATATATTTTACTTACCTATTACTAGATTTCACTATCCTCTCAGTTTTAAGAAGAACTTTCAATCCACTAAAACCGGCAGCTTGATAAAATTGTAATTTATTATTTAAACTTAATTTCAAATTTAGTTCTTCAATATTACTTTTTTCCTCCGTTGCATTGAGAGGATACAAAACTTGCTCTAAAAGTGTTGACAAACGAACTGTTTCTAAAGCTCTAATGATAATAATAATAACTTTTGTTATATAAAACAATTCTAAATTATATTTATTTATATATAAAATATTAAAATACCTTTCTGTGATCTGTATTATATTTTCTGCTTGTGGAAATATCCACTCTACTCTCCAAAAAAGTTCATTTGTTTTCCATTTTAAAAATGTTGTATTCTTTTTATGTTTAGTAAAATGTTGTGGCATGAAACAGAGATTAACTTTCCTATTATAAGCACCTGTTCTGAGTCGGTTTAAATGCTGCAATATTATTCATAAATTATAATTTTATACTTATAAAAAGGCATACAAAAAAATATTGACAACATACCAAAGGTAACTCGGAGTGTCGTGAAAATCTTTTTAATGGATTATTTTTTAATTGATCAACAGATCTGCCAATTTCTTCAAGTAATCGATAATCTGGAATTTAGATAATGTTTATTTTTTGTAATATAGTATGTTTCAAAACATAATTAATCTAATAATTTAAAGTAACGTACCATTTAACAAATCTAAATCAGTAAACGATGCTAATGTTTTAAATTTCAGTCTATCTCGAATTCCATCACATTCGAGTTCTTTTTTATGAATATTTACACATGCAAGACAACACGTTCTAACCTCACATTTTGGGCAAGTATATTTTGCTTTGTTTGCATCACATACTTCGCATTTTTCTAATCTATAAATAAAAAGAAATAGTTATTTTTTTAATTAAATCTTCTTCTTTTGTTTGTTATTCTTAATAATACATATTTCTATTAAGTCAACTGTATGCACTTACTTTACATCGGGGGCCGCCATATTACTAATACGTCCAGCAATAACAATCACTACGTGATTTTTTTATATTCTAATTTATTACAAAATCAAAGATATCATTTAAGATTAAAACAACCAAAAATTATTTACTCTTTTAATATGAATATTACACATATTCATGAATAATTTTGTAAATTTTTTTTTAATTTTTTAGTTACTTCTATTTTTTTTGACTTTATGTGTTATATTTGAAATGTAACGTCTCAAATTGAATCTTTCTTCATTTGTTCATTGAACTGTAAGTAATTTTACCGCAAGTAATAATTAAATTATAATAGAAATATATATATATTACTTTATTATAATGATTAATATTATTATCATGTAAATCATAACTATATATTTTGCACATGGGAAGAAAATGTGAAACATTTTTACTATTTATCGTATATGCGTAAGTAAAGCAATATTTTGTGAAATATTATTTATTTAAATAGAAGTTACATTAATTTAGCGATTATTTGTAGGTGGATTTATATATATATATATTTTTATTCTGTACAGAATTTTTTATTTATTTACTTTGGATAGGTATCAAACATACATGCTTCTATATATTTTTATTATCTTTTTTAAAATACGGACAATTTAGCTTTGTTTTTTCTTTGAGTTTGTTCAGCTGCAATATTTTTCTCACAAGCACGTAATTCAATAAGTTTCTTTTGTTTCTCATTATATTGCGCTAGAATATTTTTGTAAGGTGTGCTATCTTTTGAATGTCTTGTCATTGAATTTTTAAGTTTCAATGATTCTCTTTCCAACCGGTTGATATCTTCGCCTACTTGAAAATTTGCAACATTTAATTTCCAATTTGATTCCGTTTTCAAATTACATTTAGATTTTGACGTACTGGCTACATCCTTATTTTTGTCTGTAAAATTTAAAGGAATAGAAATTTGGATACTTTAATTTGTGGACCAAGTGTAGGGTTCATCTTTACATTTTATATTTTTTACACACTTACTTTCAACTAATGTTGTATTTAATGTCGTGTTTAAGAAATTGAATATATTACTTTGTTCCTTTTCTTTTTCTCTTTCATATTCTCTTTGTCTTTGTCGTTCTAATTTTTGTTGCTTCTTACGCATTTTAAATTCAGCAGAAAATAAGTTTTTATCATTGCCAGCTATTTCACGTAACTCCATACAATGATCTATAAAATATAATCATATAATAGATAGATTTATGTCATTAATAAGAAACTGTACTAACAGTCAAAGTCATTTTTTACCTAAAGATCTACCAGGTGGTAATACTGCAGCTTCAACAGGATCTATTCTTCCGTCTGCTAATTTCCCTAAACCTGTACCTCTCACGTAACCCATCTTTGCCATTAATTTACTACCCATACCACGTGTATGTTTTTCCCAATGTCCTAAGGGTTGAGTAGTCGGTGTCATTAGTAAAGATTTATCTATTAATGCTTCGGTAGTATAATCTTTCTCATTGTTATCAATTTCACTATCATCAGATTCATCAGATAATTCTGAATCATTAGTATCTATAAAATAAATAGAATAATTTGTTATGTATATGTATATAAATTAATGTATGTGTAGTATATATGTATATACATATTTATAATACATACCAAGAGGTACAAGATCTTGCAAACCTATTTCTGTGATATCACCTTTTGCTTCTAGTTTAACACGAACAACTTCTTCAACTTCGTCAGGCATTTTAATAACAATTGATCTATACCATAAATTATTGTTTTGTTTAACTAGTACTCTACTGCCTATCTTAATATTTTCATAGTTGGGTTCCCTGCAATGCAAAAAAATTAAGAAGAAAAGAAAATGTACTTTGATTGATAAAATAAATATCTTACTTATATTCCTGCAGATTGGAAAATGGTACTATCTCTCCATGTGAAAAATGACATTGATCGTCTGAGAACTTACAATTTCCCTCAAAGAAATATGGACATGGAAGCATTTCTTTATATGTTGGATTAATAAAGAGCACTCTGACCTATTTAATAATGATGTAAGAATTATTAATAGAACGTTAAGAACATGATTCTGAAACAAACGTGCACCAAATATCGGTCTGCCTGAAATATCTCTTAATTCAAGATTTATTGTAGATTATTCTAAAAATTGAATGAAAAGAAAAGGTATTTAAAATTATTTCTTAAGTTAACGAACTATTATAATAATGTTGATTAACCTTGATTTCATGCATAGATTTCAACGTTGGATTAGTACTTCTATCGACTGAACATATCATAGCATTGTGGTAACCACCACTATCCCAACTGCTATTAAGCCGAGCTCTACATTTCATTCCCTCAAGTTGCTTCAATTCATCCTAGAAGATTAACTTGCACCGTATAATTGTATCATTGCTATGCCATACCACATATTAGCGTACTGACTTCTATATCATTCCAAGCACCTGCAGCTTCACTATTTTGCTCAACACTCTTTGAATTGTTTGAGCAATCTTCTATTTCTGCCTGCAAAGAACAACCAATTATTGATTTTGTTTCAAACAATATGTAAGTAGAACAATTACCTTAAATAAGGCATATTCATTCGCCAATGGATCATTCTCATCATTTTCATCATCTTCGTCATTCTCCTTACTCTCAGGCATGTTTGAATTTTCAGCATCAATTCCTTCAAGCTTTTCTAAATTTTCTTTAGTTAAGTCAATTAATTCTTGAAGATTTGATTTTAAATTTAATAAATCATTCTTATCACTTTCCTTCGTTTCCATAGACAACGCAGATACAATTTGGGATAACTGTAACATGTGGACATCATATGTAAAAAAAATAAATGTATAGTTCCTCAGATATATTTTTATAAAGGTATACGTTCTTTTTATTAATAATTCAAGTATTATACCTGAAATTCATATTGAATTATTGCTTCTTTCAGACTTGCAACATCTGCCATTGAGATATATATATATAAGTAAAAAAATATTTATCAAATTTGTAAAAACTATTATTAAAATAAGACTTATATTAAAAAATATTATATATTATTATATAATAATTCTTCGCGATGAAAGTCAAACATTCCAACCGAAACGCATCACAAAATAATCAAATTCACTGTTAGCAGTAACTGGAAAGAATACAAAAGAAATCACTGTATGCTTGCGCCCTCTCGTAAGTAGTTTGATATCCTTGAATATAATTACTATGATAATAAAATAATAAGTAATATTATTAGTCCAAAAAAATATATCAAATTTTCTGCAATTGTCATTAAGAAAAATGATATTTACGTTTACACATATATATGTATATATATTTTATTTTTATTATAGTCAAAGAATATATCACTTTAGGGAAAGAGTATTAAAAAAGAACGAGTCATCACAGCGCCTCGGTAGCGCAGTAGGCAGCGCGTAAGTCTCATAATCTTAAGGTCGTGAGTTCGATCCTCACCCGAGGCAAATTTTTTGCATACTCAAGGGATGTAAATTTATTTTTTATAATAATGAATATAATAACACTAATGCATACATGCACTTTATATTTTGTGGGTTTGTATTTACTTTTAAGTGTTATTAATCTGTCATTATTAATTATTAAAATGAATTCTATTGATAGCATTATAAAATTAATCTTTTTTATTGACATAATCAAAGGAAACAAGTCTTAAATCTTAAAAGATGTTTATAATAGTAAGAAAAAAAAAGACAACGTGGAAGGGAGAAAGGAAAGAGAATAAGAGACAATTATGTAAATGTAACGTATGCCAAAGGGCTCGTTCTCTTTCTCTTGAAATTGAAATGTGGAATTTAAAACGAGTTGTGAATTGTTTGTTGCCCTTTAGCGATACTGCAATTTGCAAGCAAACAGCCCATTAAGAGAAGACCACCGACTGTTTTTCTTTTTACAAGAGGAAGATTTTCTCTGTATTGTCGTGGACGTTTTCAATTCTTTTGGAAGAAGATCGGATAAAAATTACATCGATGTTCAGTTATGATTGAACAGAGAATAATGAGAGGACAGATGAAAATAGCATCGTCGTCGTCATCGTGGAAAAATCAACATAGCGTTTCTTCCGGAAGAAAGACGTAGGGAAAGGGACAGTGGAGATGAGTGGATACTGCGAAGGAAATAGAGAAAAGTAAGTATGTAGAGTACGTGATTCAAGGAAAAAAGTCTGCATCGATGAGAGGGCGGCTTTATCCGTTCACTGCGGAGCTGTTACGTATAAATGCAGAAATGCGGCCCGGTTCGCGGAGGTTGAGCGATCGTTGGTGGGAGCGAGCTTGATTCCGCGTTGATTCAGACCGTATTCAGTGCATCGAGCTCGCGATGAAAAGGCATTCCGTTTTCTGAATATATTCCAATTAAAAAGTCGGAGCTTCGTTGCCCTCACCTCTGCCCGCTCACCTCCTGCCTTTGCCCCATCCCCCGAAAGAGATAGGGAAAGAGAGAGAGAGACAGAGATAGAAATAAAGTTAGAGAGAGAGAAAGCAAACACCGGCTCAAGCGCCAGCTCGAGCGCCCTTCTTCTTCGTCTACGTCCCGCTATCCCGTACCACCGACCCCCTTTTACTTCTGCCTTTTGCCTTCCGCCCCTACCGACGACGCGATCCCTTTTTCCTATCGCTCGACCAACCAGACATTTTCTCCCTCTCGCTGTTTCTCCAGCAATTACTTCTCCGCTTTTTCTTCTTTCCTCTCTTCCACTTTCCTATCTTTTTTTTCCCCTTTCTAAAGAACTCTTTCTACCATTTTCTTCGTCAATCCTTTCTAATATAAACCCTGACTCGATTTCATCTCTATATTTTTATTATTTTTAATTATTGTTTTACTATTTAGGAACATAAAGATTATCTATGGAATATATGATATACACATTCAAGTATAGAAAAGATTTCTTCGTCGATATTCTTTATCAAAGAACACGTTTGCTCTTATCTTTGGATTATACTCTACGTAATTGTCTTTGGCATGGGAAACGGCGAATCAAGCTGTTGTTTTTATCCTCTACACCCGAAGAACAAATGTAAATTCGAGGCGTATGTTTGCGCACGTACGACTAGGAACTCCCATGAAGTATTTAACGATGCCGCAGAACGAAGGCACATCCTAAGCCTAAGGAGAGGAAAAGACGATGAGGAATACGAAGCGCGTGCCCAAGTGCCAACAGGACTTACGCACGTATGCACGAGCGTCTGCAAGCGCGTATGCACGCGCGTGTGTACGGATATTCGCTGGAGTATAATGCGCACGTGGCTGGGCACACGCAACACCACTTGTCTACTTCAACTTTCGATTCCTTCTATCCCTTCGTGAATGATCCTTGGGTCAACTTTTCGTCCTTGATCTCTAGACTGCACCACCACTGAACAAAGTTATGAGAGACGACACCCTGTAACAAATACAACTTTGCTATTAATATCATCACTAGCTCATTAGCAGAAGTTAACTCATTTGCATTTTACGATAGAATGAAAAATGTATCCATCAAATTTGTTTTTTCTTCATCAATACTAAATAGAGTACAATAATATTTTAAGGAGTAATTTGAATATTATTGGCTATAGGCGTTCTGGTGATAATTATGCAAGAAAAATTATGCGCGTATGTGCGTTAATGATGCAAATTGGTTAAGATACAAGTAGAATTCATTTTTGTTAAATGATATTTAATGATATATCTTATATCTATACGTGATACGAATATGTAAAACGAGATAGGAGTAGCTAGTAGAATCTAAATTAACGCGATTATATTTAGAAACGGTCTAATGAATTTAAATTTGTTCGTAGAGATAAAACGTTCTAATTATATCGCTAGCGCGTTTTAATTATTTCGTTGGTTTAATGGTTAACATTTGAGAGAAAATGGAAGAAACGAATGTAGTAAGTAAAGGTCGAAGAACAGTAACCGACTGAATAGCGAATGCCGTTGGATATCATTGTGAATACTGTACCGAATGATTATGTGGAAGTAATTACGCGTAAGAGATTACGTAGGAATATCGTTGAGATTTCGTTTCAACTATGCTGCGGTGAGTCTTAACAAAAAAAAAAAAAAAGAAAAGAAAAGAAAAAAAAGAGGATTCAGGTTGAAGAAGAATAGAAGAATTTTTCCTTCGTTCGAGCGATTTCACGCTCGGTGAGATGAATCTGCTTTTCCTATAATTCGAGGACTTTGAATGTAAGAAAAGAAAGAGATAAAGAAAGAGAAATAAATAAAGAAAGAGTACCACGGTTTATTCCATTTTGAATAAACCCGAAAAGAGTATCTTCCTTTCTACGATTCCTCTTCGCTTATCTTATGTTGAAATATACGAAACTTCGCGTAACGGAATTGATATGTATTTTTCTTTATTTCTTTTTACGTTTTAATATGAGAAAGAAATCATTAACTATATCGTTATCCGAAAGGTATTATACGCGTTGCCTGATAAAGTATTTATTCGTATGAAGGTTTTCGTTTTCTCTCTACTCGTTCTCGCCCTAATTAACACAATCGATCCAACACGAAATATCGAGGAAAGACAGTAGTTGCTCTATCGTCAACTGGTGTATATTCTCTCGTCGATTCCATTCAATTAAATTCGTAAGTCAATTCCTTTTCTAAGTGGCCTCAACTCACTCAACTTGTATCGGTTTCAACCAATTACTTCGAACGGGGCAGGAGTCGCGCGTTTTGGACACGTGCCCATTGTCGTCTATGAATTAGCTTACTATACTATCTCATTTTTCGAATGAAAGGAGGTAATCGAGAGTATACTATACAACATAAATACATCCTAATGATATATTCAGATAAAAGAATATTTTATATTTCAACCTTGAAATCAATTTTATTTTTACATTTAAAAGAAAAATATAGATACCAAGGGGGGATGAATTATTTTATGGATTAATATTGTAGGATTTTATATACAATTTGAATAATAACGACATCCAAAAACATTTTTATATATGTTATTTCATAATAATTTATTTATCTACAAGAACTCCTCATCTTACACAAAATTGTCAACTAGTGAAAGATGTTAAAGTTACATATCGATAGTGAACGTCGATTAAAATCACTAAATTATAAAGTTGCTGTTAAAACACGAAAAATACGCACGTTAGTCGAGCATTGCACATTCGGTAATAAATATCCCTTTTCATCTTTCAAAGTGATCATTTAAGTACGATGAAACAGCTACGTATTAATATCATTATATCTTCTAATCGTTATTCTCATTGATCGGACGTTCTTTTCAGAAAATTATTAGATCTTCATTGTTGAATGGTAATTTATCGTAATTTCCACAATAAAGATTTTACCGTATCACTGCTGATTGTTAAATGTTTTCATAATTAAAAATGAAAAACATTCGTTTATCTATCAAGATAAGGATCATTTGCAAGAAACAACCGAATACGGTTTCGCCGATCTATTTAATAATTACATATTTACATTGTCAATCAACTGTCCCGTTTGCAACGAAAACAAATACGAAAAAAAACTTCTGAATACAAAAATTAAATAATCAATTACAAATTTATCGCGTGTTGCTGATAATATACAACAACAACAACAAAAATCTTTAAATACTGCACGTGCTTGTCTAAAATAATATTTCACTTGTGAAATAAAGAATAGAATTTTCTTGATCACATGTAAATAAAAATATAATCGATTAAAAATTTACAACTAAAGTCATATCACTCTCTGTCTGTTGCAGCGATGAAGATAATAAAAGAAAACATCGAGTGGAATTCTTTGACTCGCCGTTTTTACTTCCACACGAATTTTATCTGTTGCTCATAGGAGTGTTCAAGTTAGGTAGGAGCTATTAGGTGATTTGAAACGATATTTAAATCATAATATCGTACGCGTTAGAGTGGACAACCATGTACGTATGTGACGTTTCGAAAAAGTGCAGCAGCCGTCGAAAGGAACGCTGCCGTGGATGCTGTGGATGGAGCTGGTGGAGGTGGTGGTGGAGGTGCATGGTTCGTCACTTGTGTTTGTGCATTATAAGATGGACAATAGGCATCTATGCTACCATGATGAAGACCCACGCCTCTTACAAGGAGTTCTTTTTCTACTGTTGCTTGATGACGAAGTTGTTCAAGTCGTAACTGATTCTGTCTCTTCCACTTCGTTCTGTAACAATCAAGTAGTAAAGGTTTAAAAATATTAATCCTTATAATAAATATATATTCATAAAGATTGTACTTAGTCTCGCTGACCTTCTATTTTGATACCAAGTCTTCACTTGAGTTTCTGACAGAGACAATGCATCTGCTACGTCACTACGATCCGCTACACTTAAATATTTTTGACAACGAAATTTTCTTTCTAGGTAAGCAAGTTGGGCATGTGTAAAAGCTGTTCGTCTTCTTCGTGGCTTTCTTCCACTCGGTGGACCACTAGGAGTTCCGCAAGATTTACCGGACGTTGCCGGACCTGGTGGAGGCGATAGAACAGGTGGTGGACTTCCTAGTCGAGTGCAAGGGCTACTGCCAGGGTCAATCGTATCTTCGGAATCCGAATGAACGGCCGAATCATCTTCGGAATCTTCTGTAAATATCAATGTGAAGAAACATTGCCTTGTCAACTATGATCGATTGATGAGTTAGTACAAGTACAATTTGTACAAACAGTTGTCTCATTAATTCAACAGATTCGACTTTACGGTAGAAGCCTATTATTAAGATAATGATGGAAGAATTGAAATCGATTTACTATTGGTCCTAGTTCATGGTAAACGATCTCAATCAAGATCCTGTGGTGTCATGCCACGATTGACCAATAAAACTGGGAAACACAGCGGGACGGGATAAGCGACGGATAAAATTTGTGGACTAACGAAGCCTAACGAGTCACTTCGCACCTAAAACCATCTGTAGGATCACCCTTAACGGAACGACACTCTGTAGGGTGGATTGTCGTACTTTGGACCCCGAATAGTGGATAGAAATAATAGAAGAGTCCTCAGGGGGTATCTTTTAACGAGAATCCTGACGGTAGCACACGCGACTAACTCCGGTTTCGTATATAAAACACTAATAATCTATAAAAATTCATCGATCGTCAGGTCTTTTTTGTTAACAATAAGTCTTCGATCATTCGAGAAGTCAATAAGTAAGTTGAACAAAATCTCTCTTATGAAACTATAATAACTTTTATACTTTATCGATATTGTCACGATTAACAAGGCATATTGTAATAATTGTTTAGGTCACCTACCTTGAACTCGATCCGCTAGAACGTCGCCCAAAAGATCTCTTATCAAAAAAGACTTGTGTTCTTGCATCATCCCCACTGATAAATCGACGCAAACCAGTTATAAAAACTAAACAATACCACTAACTCGAGTGCAAGATGAATGATTTACTTCACGTATATCGCGTTATCACCGATTAATCTAAAGAGCCAAGAACTTTCATGCTATCGTACGGACGCTCGACATCGTTCTGCGTCGACCGCGAGCACGGGGATGACCGGATGTATCTGGCCGACGTTCCACTGTCGTCATCGTCCTAGACATTCTTGTCGTCTTCGTCGTTGTAACCCACGTTGCGGGTGAAGGCGAGTCGTTGTAGGAGGCGGAGGCTTACTCGATGAAGTTTGGATACGAGGGTGAGGGGTAGTACTACAGTACAACATTCATCGTCTCTCCAACTATATCTTTTCCAAGCCCTGCCACCCCTTCGAATTAATCCGCCCGTTTATTTTGAACGGGTAGCCTAATGCCCGCGCGATTTCGCAGCCATTTTGGGGGTGGAGGCGCCATCCTCGTACCCCGCGTATTCCCGTTCGAAAACGGTTGCCACGGGCTTCTGCCATTGGTGGGTGGTACGGACGAGTGAGGGATGAAAAGTCTCTTCCGCGGGATGCTATTGGGCGGATAAACGCACCCTGCGCGAGAGAAGGTTGGTTCTCTCCCTCCACGATCTTTCATTCCTTCTATACATATCGCCTCACTTTCCTTTTGTATGCATCCAGACGAGAACACAAGATATATAATAGGGCTCGCACGAGTTGGTAAGGTAAGGACTACCAAACGTAGAGCCGCGTCGGCTAACGGAGATGGGTTGATAGGGGAGGAAGTAATTGGCAAGCGATTACCGTAGAAGGAGAGGAGCAAATTGGATGTGAAACGTTTCTGTAGCTTTATTATGATGCAGTCTTGTTTTCTATCTCAATTTCAAACTTATCTCCTGATTTTTTTTCTATTCATCGTCCCACAACCCTTTCAATTTTAAAGGGATAATCATTACGCGAGGAAGAAATTGGTACGATCGACGGGAAGCAAAGATCCATTACCACCTTTTATCAAACTTAGTTCAATCTTCGTGATTTTTTTCCTTTTGATTACTTTCTGCAAACAAGACTGAGTAAGATTGAATAAAAATTGATGGGGATTAAGTTTTTCTCTCTCATAATCGAATTTAATTAAATTAACTTAGATTATTTATATTATTACCAATCATAAAAACGTAATTTTATTAAATATATCTACAGAGTAATCGTATCGATTATTCGAGTAATATTTAACATTTTTAGAGTAACTCAAATCGTTATGATATCGTAATCAAGTCGATTTATATCCATCGATTTCAAAAAAGAATAACGTTAGGTGTGCCAGATATATAGGAGAAATTGATGTGCACCATATTTACATAAATACATTCCTAGCTGTTTGGAGTTTCCTACCGTATCTTCTCACTCCCCGTGCCCTTTGAAGGGGTAGTTTGTGAGCGTAAATATGCATGATGCATATACTCACAAATCCTCAAACTGCCTCTACTTTCTCAGCCGCCTTCATGCTTCTACTATTTCTCTCGTGGCCCTGAGCTCAATAGCACCCTGTTAGTCTATTCACTGCACTACACTACTTAGCTTTTGTAAGCACCTACACATAGGATACATCTTATACATAGATTTGCTCTCTCCTTAGTAGATATATTTTATATTTTACGAAATTGCATTCACCATGAACTATAAAATATGAAAATATGACGATAAAGTCAATGGGGTGTACAAATTCTTATGTAATATACGCTTATATTGATTTATCTTAAACATATCGATTATTTAACAGTATTGTCATATTCTACTTTTCTGTTAAATATTGTGTAGGTTTGTTTTATTAAAAAATTTACTCCACTACTACACGTGAAAATGATCTCTTATTTCCTACAACAAGATTCTTACTTTAAAATGTATTTATTTAAATTATTCTTTATAGGGCATCGTTATACCATATCGACACCTGTAAAGTTTTCTTTACGATGTTGAACAGTGAATGCGATGGATCGGAACGCCTTTCTGAATTCATTAGGATTAACGTATGCAAGAGATTAATTCAAGGGGCGGCAAAGCGGCTAGGCGTCTTCTTACCGGGCGCAGAAAAGGGCGCCGAGAACACTGAAAAGAGGGGAATAAATGAGTGATAGAAGATGAGATAAGAACGAGTGAGAGAGTTGAGCAACTTCGAAAATGAAAAACAAAGGGTATCTCTGTCATCGTTGAAAGGCCATATCGTTTATCGTCACACACACAATCTGCTATTTAGAATAATTAACAAAAATGATTATAGTTCGTTAAATTATTTTTATTAAAATGAATAATCAATAATTATGTTTCTATCAAATGATTAAAGGATAGTAAATTTCTTGTCAATTTTGTATTTACAGAACCAATACCAATGTATGTATACCTTGATTGAATCAGATCACCTAATACCATCTAATATACAGTATCGCACCCTTAAATTGGATGGTTTACGAGGGGATGTTTCGTGTATGTGAAGCTCGTTTTATTATCGCATCTGTCGTGATCCGGACGAAGCTAAATTGATGGAAGTAAGAAAAGAGGGTTTGTTGTGTTAGAATTGGTTTCGAATCACCGTCCTTTCTTTCGGATGATCATTATCGATAATTTTCTTTATTTCTATTCTAATAAAATTACTGGTATCCTCTTCGTAAATGAATACGTTAATATTCGTATCATAAGTTTAAATAAAATTAAAAATTAATGTTTTTCAGACATTCGCTATTGTAAAAAGAAAAAGAATAAGAAGAGGAGCATATATATATATGCAGAATTTTTTTAAGAATCTAATTTACAATTGCAAAAAAATGTGGAACGCTTCACGATTTTGCGTGTCATCCTTGCGCAGGGGCCATGCTAATCTTCTCTGTATCGTTCCAATTTTAGTATATGTACTGCCGAAGCAAGTACAACAGGGTAGTTCAAAAGAAGAAATATATACAAACTAAGCTGATGAAAAGTACTTGCGAGAAAGCTTTTATACTTATAACGTAACATATCGTTAAAGCGTCATCTAGCGGAATTTTAGTATAACACCTGCAGATTCAGATATAAAAATGTTGTAAGTATAAATACTAAACTCTTTTTCTTATTATATATAATTTTTATAATTATATTTTATAAAAAAGTAATGTAAATAAGAGTATGCATTATCTTATCATTTTAGAATTAAAAGAATTTCTGTTTTCTATCATTTTATCAAATTATGATAAACATTTTACAAAAACTAGTTTTATATCTCTATGTATTTGTATTAATATTTTGTATCATATTGTAATATTTTATAGTTGTAAATTTTTGACTTTTATGTTTTATTTTATAACGACGGATAAACAATCATTTATTATATACGTATGCATTTGCATTTATTTTTTTATCGTATTGCAATATATGATAGTTGTTGATTTCGTAGTTTTAATTTTTATATTATAAAAGGTGATAGCATTCCTCCAATAGGACTTGTAAAAATCGATGACTCGATAATAATAGCGATCGTTGCCACGAATTGGTAAATACGGATAAAAGACTGTGAAGAGGATCACGGTGGAACGATTTAGAACAGTGATGGGCAGAGAGCAGGGATCAAATCGCGAGGCAAAGAACTTCGAAGCCGTTAACAATCACAGCAAATATAAAATCCATTGACGTGCGACCGTGCGTATGAATATAACTGCGAATACACGAATATTTTGTCGATGATTGTAATGTACGATGTTGTATAGTAGTAATGAACAGGACCCTCCGGTCTCTAAATATGCATGTGCACGTTTTTCAACTTGCATTTTTCTTTCGTGATTCAAGAGCTTCGTAAAATTTTTTCCTCGTAAACATTGTCTCTAATTTCTCTATGTCACAATATTGCTTTGGTCTTTACATATAAAAAAAAAAAAAACAAAGAAAGAAAAAGAAAACACGAGATAACAAAGAAGTTGCATTCGACTCAAGAATATCTTTAACTTGATTTAATTAAAACTTAACAATTAAAATTCATTGTTTTTTATATTTTACATATTGTACAAAGATTATTATTTGTTAATAATACTAACGATTTCTTTCTTACAGATAATTTTCGGTGATACGATTGCGCTGCAAGTTTTCATTAACAAACCAACGTGACATTATCCGAGCCGTAGGATGCTCTTTGAAAAATGAAGAGCAAGAAAAAAAGATTGACATGTTCCTCGTTCAGTCCATTTCTACAAATCCCACGCATTAAGTGAGAAAAAAGACGCATATACACGCCCTTCTTCTTCTTCTTCTTGTTCTTCTATATACGGTTATTCATCTGAATTTTCTTTTTTTTCCTTTTCACTGTTTTACCACGTTTATGAACGGCACTCTTTTATCCTTTGCTTATTCCAATGTCTCCGGTTAACAACGCGATGTAACGTCCTTAAGACGTCAAAGGGTAGGGGTTCTTCTTCCCTTTTTTTTTATTCTTATCATTATTATTATTATTTTCTAGCTTTGGAAAAGAAAATAATTACGATCCCGTCAATTTATGGCTAAGAGTACGAATTCACTTGATGAATGCAGTCTAGCGAGTCACGATTGACACAGTGTTCTTTTTTTTTTTTATAGTACGTACGTTGACAAGTTGTTCTTCTAATATCACTGTTGTAAGAGATGATTAGAAAGAAAATAAGAAAAAACTTTGACTTCATAAAAGTATCATTGACTTCTCATTGAAAAGATTATGCATTTTTACGCGAACGAGTATTTTTTGCGGTATTGAAAGTTAAACAAGAAAATATCTGAGACACGCTTCGAACGAATCGACTAAGTATGTTGCCTATTGTGTTCCTTTCTTTACAGGGAAGCGGAGACACTCTCGAAGGATGGTGGTTATGGGAAAAAGAGTGCTTGAACACGGACGTTGGTCAGACTCCCGCGGTTCCAATTACGAGTGAAAGGCGGCCCTGTTCGTTCGTCTCCTATAACTGCGGACTCTTCAGGACTTCGTACGGGGTACCCTCTTACCCCATGACCACTTTCGAGTTTCAACACGCGTGTTTCCATGGCAAATGGTGCCATTTTGTTGGATTTGATCATTGCTTATCTTTCTACAAAATATTTCTACGTGATAACAGTCTTATAAATTTTCTTGGATCTTTAAAAAATGTATATCTAAGAAAGTATCTCTCATCTTTTGAAGTAAGTACGTTATACAATTATCACGACGAAATAACTATTTTAATACGATAGTAATTATCTCGATCGAGTTAACTAATGATTAATATTATTTTAACAGAATAAATATGACAGATAAAACTAACGCGCGTGTTATCATTGGAATCTCTATAAGAGAAACGATTATCCGATATAATCATATCCCTGGTTTGGATCTAAGAGTTGGGTAATCAAGGGACGATTGCTGTCACAAAGCTGCTTGATTGGCTCGTTTATGTTATGGTAATGCTCGGGACACTACGAGATGGAGAGTAGAGTCCCTCGATAAGTGGAGGGCTCTTGTATTCTCGTTAACGAGATTTTCACGAGAACGGTCGCATTTTTGTTATAGAATTAAATGAAAATTTCTCGCTCCGCAGTGGACCAAACGAGTGAAACGTTTTGATGGAACTAGTAGAAATCCATTAATAGATTCATTATTCCTCCAATTGTCAAGTTTTATTATATCGATAAGTATTATTATATACGCTAAAAGATTGGATTGCTTAACAACATAAATGGATTTCATACGACTTGGAAACTTTAACACCGACGACGAAATATACGAAAGTTCCACTTTCGGTTTCAAGGTTGATCAAAGATGCTAGGTCCAAGAGGGATAATCGTCCTAGGAAAGCAAAGACGAGGGATGTGTCGTAGCGCAGCGTCGCCAAAGTCGAGAGGATTACTTGTTTACAAACGACAGTTGATTTGACAAAGCCGCGAGTCCATTTATACGAGTGAATATTACAAGCCGTAGTTGAGGGGTGGCTTGTTATCCGCTCATTGAAGTTAACCACGGGGCTAAGTGCGCGGAGGAGGGAGGGGTGGCGCTCGTGGTAAGGAGAATACGAAGAGTAAAGGCTAGGTAAGCTGAAAGGGGAACTCTGCTGTTGCCGCTCCTGCTGCTGGAGGGATGGAAAGTTGGAGGGAGGTTGGAGAAAGAGAGTGAGAGAGAGAAAGAGGAGATAGAGGGTGGAAAACGAAGATGTGAAACGGCCAATGAGAGGCCAGATCGTTGCCGAGGTAACCGCGGGGCTTTCCGACGAATTATTCGACCGAGATTGAAAAGTTAGCGACGTGCGGTTTGAAGGAGAAGTGGGACGGGGAGGATTTCGTGCCTCCATCCGGTCTATACTCCGTTGATAGATGGGAGGCATGAAGGAACGATCCCCTCGAACGTCGCTTTCCCCCGAATCAGCTAAACACGATGAATTAAGATTCACCTTCTCTCGTCGATAGACACTCGAATAGACGCGTCGATAGGATATCATACTCGAGCTTGTTTCTCACAATCAGTCGACGATAGCTTCGTTATCGTTACCACAACATCCACGAACGATCATATTCTTTACGAATAACGACACATATTAATGAATTTACTTCGTTAAGAGATATTTACGCTCGTAATGTTGTAAATTAATAATATTATTTGTACATATGTTTTAGGAATGTAGAATCAACGTGGATAGGTGAATAATATCTGTAGAAAAGATATAGCCGTTCGCTCGTTCGTTCGTTCATTCGTTCTCAGAACGAAGTTCTGAAAAAAATCAACGCGATGCCGGTGACGGGTCAAGCGTGTGAGAGAGGACGCACCTGAAAATGTTTATTTCTGCATCCGCGTACACATGACGCCCGTCTATGCTGCTTACCGACTGGCAGGCACTCCGGAATTACCTGACACGTGCATAATTAATGCCTCTGACGAGGGTGCGACTCTCGCGTTGCACAGACACGCGCATATCCTATTCGTATTATCTGTGTCAGAGAGAAATGAAAAACGAGGGTTGATATGGAGAACGAGGAGAAAGACGGCGAAAGGTGGAAATCGCGACTACAGAGAAAGAGAAATAGAGAGAGAGAGAGAGAGAGAGAGAAAGAAAGAGAGAAAAAGGAAGAGAGGGGAGGGACGGAGACGGGCTGTTGCGAGGATACGGAAAACTACAGCGAAGGAGAGGAAGGAGGAACGATTCTTTCGAATGGACGATACGAGTGGAGAGAGTTGAAAGCCAAAGTTGTTGGATAACCGACGCGGAAACGCGGGATAATGACTACTTTTTCATATTTTAATTACGCAGTAATTAATTGAAATGTTTCCCTGTTCGCGAGGGCACTCGAGCAAAATGAGACGCGGGTGCTGCCTCAGCTGAGACAGCTTCGACTATATTTTCTTCTTCTTCTTCTCTCTCTCTCTCTATCTCTCTTTCTTTTTCCTTTTTTCGTTTCTTTTTGTTACTCCTTTTCTCTTCCTCTCTCTCTTTCTCTTTCTTTTTTCTTTTTCGTTCACCGACGAATAGACGGCCACGATTTTTCCATTTTTCTTTCCATTTTTCTTTCCATTCTTTCGGCCCTTTTCGCAGAATTAAGTACTAGCTCCTTTGATGAGCTACGTTTTCCCTTTTAAGCAATTCCATCGCGCCCGATTCTCTACTTGGCATCGATTTTAACGCGAGTCTATCCAACCACCTACCAACACATCGTTTCAAGATTTGGAATCTTTCTGTGCCGTATTAATTATTCGTTCCTTCCTTCTCTCGTGAAACACAAAACGTCCATTGAAATGAATAAATACGATTAGTTTCTTTTTAAAGTTATCAATAGTAAAATACGGAACATATAAATCCGTCGAGTCAAGCGTTGATATTAACTACTGGAAATTGTTACTACACGACTACTACTACTACTACTACTACTACTACTACTACTATTACTTTTAGTAATATTATTACTACTGCTCTTCTATCCAGGAGCACTATTCTTTTGCATCCGGTTCGCTTGTTGTGTTTCATTTTCACGACCCCTAGTTTACTCTACAGTGTCGGCATAACAATGAAAGCGAAAAAATCGAGAAGGAAATAAAGTGAGAGAAACGAGGTGGAAGGGAGAGAAAGAGATAGGTAAGAGGAAAGGAAGGGAAAGACGGGTTCGCCCTTTTGTTAGCGAAGTTGTACGCTACGTGCAATTGTCTTCTCATTGTTCCAGCCATTGTTTCCGGTAACTCTTTCGCGGTAACGAGGAGGAACCTCAATTAGAACGGTTTGAGGACTTAAACGCCCAGAGGCTGCCGGGTTTTAAGAGGCAAGGATGCAGTAACGTCGACATGGAAGCATTGTTTCTCCGAGCAATAATGCAAACGATACCCTAAGCGCGTGAAAGACGTTCTGACATCTCTCTTACCACTCACTACTGCAAGTTATAACGTATTGTCAAATATCTATGTGTATACTCATATATTTGAAACTTTTTCATTGTTCTCTAGCACGTAGTTGAAGTAATAGAATTATTCGCAAGCAAGGAAAAACAAATTAAAAAATCTTCTCGTTTCAGATTCTATCTAAGACAATTTGTACCAATTTCATATCCTAGAGATATACAAATTCTTGTACTGTATTCATACGTGAACTCGATAAATAACGAAAACAGGATTTCCTCCATTTGACGCTTGGTGTCTTAATTGAAAATCAAATGTGTTCTTTGAAGCTCGAGATATGGTAAATCATGTTATCACTTACAATTAGTCGTTAATTAATTTATTTTAAGTTCATATATCTTGAACGTAATTAATTGAGTTTGAGAGATAAAAATATTGCTTTTATTGTTATTACGAAGAAAGAGATATTTAATTATGAACAAAAAAATATTAAATCATTAACATCTTTAAATTATTAAGTATGTGCATGGCGTGTGTAATTAAATATTTTAAACATGGAAATATTCTGAGGACAGAATATATAGAAAGTAAATCTTTATTTTCTATAAGGGAATATTGAGATAGATACCTGGGAGCTTGGTTGTGTAGGAAAATGAAATGGAGTATTGAACGACAAGGAAAAAAAAAAATAACTGGCTTTGCATACATGTTTGTTGCAGTATACGCACGACTACCAATCAAACCTTCCGTTAGCCAAACGAATATCGGGAATTTTTTTCGGGAGGATATATGCTCTACTTTATGATCGCCTGTGATCCACGACTAGAATTAAGATGTACAGAAGACGCAATCATGTCGATAGTGTGCAATACAATAAAATAAAACCATTAGATGATTTCTTTAAGTGATCGGTATTTTAAATAACTTAGAATACGTCGAGGTATATCGTCAGAATGTAACAATCAACGTACATAGAATTAATCAAGGTTTCCATTTGGTTTCCACCCTTTTTCTTATTCCTTTCTATTCAATTTTCTAACGATTCTCTTCATTTATTTTTTGTTGTTGTTTTCACGTATAATCTTCCAAGTAAAATATCTTAATCTTTATTTTAACGAAAAATACCGGAGACACCTCGGTAGTTCTAAGAGTGACAGGATTGAATACATTTCAGGTGTGTACCAGCAATAACCATAAATCATCTGGAAGTCCTGCTACCCTGTCGTCGCGAAAACGCCAGGGGTGTTTTCAGAGTATGAAGGATACAAAGCTGAGGAGAGATCCTCCAGGTTACGTTTCTGAGTTATAGCATCCTGGTGTTACAAATGCTTCTGGCGCCACTCTCTTGACGAATGACAGGACATTGACGAGTACGAAAGGGAAGGATACGAAGGAAATCAAGATAATCGCGTGGAAAGATGTGGTATGTCACAAGAGAATGATTTTTCCTGCATGAGGTCCTGATCTAGAGAATATTTTCCATACGACAAGGGTGTTTTTACTTCTCTACGACGTTAAAAAATATTCTTCCTTATGATATCCTGATACAGCGAATATTTCTGGGCTATAAATTCATTCTAGAACGTCAATAAAATGCGAGGTTATAGGAAATTCAATGTTTAACAACGCGTTAATTGCTTTTTTTTCTTTTCTTTTTTTATAGCTGCGCAATATACGATCGAATCGATGTAACGTATTCGTTCTAATTACTTACACGAAAGAGTTGTTGCTAATTCATACAAGCCTAATGGTTTTGGGGATATACGTAAAAATAATGTGTTTTTTTATTTATATGATAATTATAAAGGATATGTCTCGTGGAAATGCATACTCGTGACATTTGTTGGTGATAGGCGCGCAGCGTTAGTAGAATGCATATCAGGACCAAGGATACGTTTTCACCATCGATCTATTCACCTTATTGTATCCTGGTATCTACGTTTGCCATGGCTTTTGAAGTCCTTTGATAACTTTAGAAATCTCACATACTTTGGTATAGTGTACTGTTGAAAAGTTTATAACGAGTCTGTTAATTAATACGTTTTATATGCTAATTGTCAATCCTGTAATGCAATTATAATCGGGCTTGCACTCGTTAGCTTTTTGATATTATTAAAATATTTCTAAACTTATGTATCAAAAGTTATGTTATATTTGTAAGTATTAGTAAGCTCAGTATCTAATTTATAGCGATATGCATTAGAAGTGATATAGTGGTAAGATGACAGTATAGGGAAGCAGTAGCCTTCTGAATAGTGCTAGTATCCTGACATCTTGCGTTGATTCTCTACGTGTTAGTTTCGAGTTTGATTCACATCACTTATGTACTACACCATACGTTGTGTTGCTTTCAAGGTGTATATAGATAGCTTGAATTTTCGTTAGAACGAGTATTATCTATGTAAGGATATTCTTCGTTTTGATGTTCTCCCAATAACTTGAACACCACATTCCATTCGGTCAAATGTCAAGTTGTATAACGGTGATCCTAATGTTCGGAGGGCGCATTTGTTAGGATTACATCCTATTGAGCAGGTTTTACAGTAGAATAACCAGCAGGATTCTATGAGTCCTTGATCTAGAAATATGCCTCGCGTTTGAGGCAATTAAATACGCGATTTTATTAAATGACGCGATCTACAATTAAATTATTTTATTTTACTCCTTCGCGCGCATGTATATTATTTATTCAATGCTACAATCTTATTCGTATATTTTAAAAATTCATTAATCGTATGTTCCAATATCTACCAGTATAAAAGTAATAATAATTACGTTTTTATTTAACGTGTGAATTTTTGTCAATAAAATTATTCTCTAAATGTTCAGAATTATATACTATTAATCTTATTTAATTAATGAAAAATAATATCAAGTATGAATAACAACGAAAATTATTTAATAAACGTAGAAATGAATTGGGATAATAATTTGGAGAGAAAATAATTCGTTAAATTATTTGGAAAAAGAAATATTATTGCTTCGAACGATATGATAGAAATATTATATAGGGATTGAAATTCAAATCTAATTCTAAAAGTACTTTTGTCTTTCAATCAAAAGAAAAGATCACAGGAAAACAGACTATCGTTCAGATTTCCTTCAACTACGAGGGTTTTTACCTATATACATATAACGTCGAGTGACGTTGCGAAAACGGGATGCTTCGCTTGCCAGGGTAATAGAATCACCAAGGAACGTATTCTCTTGCTGCACCCTCTTTCTACATATATTTAGAATGTGTACACGAATAGACAAATGACATTACCAAAGGGTAGTTCTATAAGCTATATTCGTCAAATTAAAAATTTTTAAGCACTATTATTCATATTCTTTGAAATTTATTATTTCTCTCTTTCTTTTTTACTATTATAGTTGATAGAAAAAAAAATATAATTTATATAAAAGAATATTTAAATTCAGGTGGCATTATTGTATCAAAAATACTTATATCAGGTTCATCATCTGGATCAAATTCTACATCACGTAGATCAATTTTTGATGTTGGTTGTGGTTCTCTAGGTTTACTGTACATCTTTGATTGCATCAAACAACCCTCCACACTTTCTCTGACTGATTGTTCGTCAGTATTTCCATCGATTACGAAAGCTGATTCTCCGGCATATTCCAACATTTCTCCGACATTATTGTCGTATTCACGTATCTAAATTTGCAAAAGTATTCCTTCTATCGATTGCTTAGAAATATGAAGATATATTTTCATTGCATTTATTCTTACTTCTTCTATGACGACATTAACATAATCCTTAGGGTGTACGCCTAATTCACAGTCAAATTTCTTTTTATAATCATCGCACGAAATAAGACTATGCTTGCTTCCGGTGATAATGTTGTATCGACGATTTAAAAGTCTCTCTTTACGTATTTCTTCACTTACTTGGACAAAGATTACTCTGAAAAGTTTCTAATTGTAAGTGTTATTCAAAAATTCGAATATTATCGTTCAAGTATACTTATTTGGGGGTGTATCAATCATATCCAAGAGTTTAAAATCTTCTACAGTAACTGGGTAATTCGTTAAAACCCATCCTTTGCGTAAACATTCAGGCTTTTTTACGTAGTTCTAGAATAAAGACAAAATCGATATTATAAAGTATAGAAGAATTAAATATTATATAAGGTGGGCCAAAATTTTAAAAATCAATTATTCCTATTTGAAATTTTTTAGACCTATAGTTGGGCTTGTAATTTTACAATCTAGATTTGTTATTTAACATTTTGAAAACAAAATTAGCCTAAAAGATCTGGGAAAAAATAAATTGATTATTAAAATCTTTTAAGTATTTCCAGTTTACCTGAAAACTTATAGCCCACTCTGTAATTGTTGTAAATATATTTAAAAATTATTTACATCAATTACTTGTATTCTCGTTTTAAGTTTTTGGTTCCAATTATGTTCAAATAATCGTAATAGTTCACCTATAGGTGTTTCTTGGAGACGCGCTTGTTTCATGATGTAATTAAAGTCCACTATAAAATGAATTATTATTTTTCAAAGTTATTAGAGTTTGTCAAACATAACTTATAAGTCATATTTATCTAATGTTTTTTTTATAAACAATATACCATCTATAAGATCGAATCTTTTCACAAGATATTTGGCTAAAGTACGACATCCCGAACCTCGAGAACCGATTAGGGCAATTCGGAAAAGAGAAGGTGCACCAGAATGTTTTTTTATTTTAGTTAATGCTATGCAATCCTTTCCTAATTCTTCGATCGATCTAATTCCTATTTCAATTTCCTAAATACAAAGTATTGATAATCAAATTTGCATTAGTTTTTTAAAGTGTAATAATTTACAATTAAAAAATTAGCATAAGCATCCCGTAGTCCACGAAAATTTTGTTTATACGTTCGCATTTCTTCGTTATTAATATTAGGGTGTATATCATTATTATCGAGTTGGTAATTAGAATTCTTTTCGGATATTTCACCTAAATCATTCGACATTATGATTTGAAAAACATGCGTGGGTATTATTCCAAGTCGTTGAAAAGCTCGAGCTTCTTTTTTTGTTCTTGGCACATCTACGCGAAATAGAATTAATTTTATAAATATTGTACTGCGTCTTTTTTTGCTATTAATATTTTTCAATTAAACTTTACAATTTTGTATGTACCAACTAAAATCCAACCAGAACTGTGTAAAGTTCCAGACTTTAATAATTTCCTCATATTCATTGCCAGATCTTCGGATTCGTTACATAAACATACATTCTAAATTAGATTAAAATACTATTGAGAGATTTAACAACAACAAACTATTATTTAAATACTTAACTTTTTACCTTATTAATAATTTTTTCACGAAGATCTTCCACAGTGATCGGTTGAAGTCCTAATTCTTTTCGAAAAATTTCTGCCAAAGCCATTTTATCTATAAACATAATTAAACCAAATAATTAATACAATTTTCTATGATTAGAATTATTTCTTACCAAAGATTGGTGGTGCTAGAAGAATAATTCTTGGAATATCTCGTTTTCTTACTGCATGTTCTAAACATTGTTTCATATAAAGAATATGGTCCTCTGGTTGATCAATTATTAATTGCTTAGCAAGTTCCTGTAAAAAATACATCAATAGAATATAATAATTTTTTCTTAAATTAAAACAGATGAATTACCTGAAATAATTCATATATTTTATGCTTTTCTAAATAAGCTATAAAACGTGGAGGTATAGAAAGTGGTCTTTTTATTGCATCCACAAAGTCACACATTATTAGAATATATTAATCTTATGTAAATTCTAATAATAAACTTAATAATTAATGCCAAAAACGATTAAATTAAATTTCTATATGAGAGTATCACCAAATGAAAATTGCAATATCTCGTGAAAACGATATATATAATTGCAGTAATGGGTAGTAATTGTGTTATTTATTTAATTATTTATATATTTATAAACAAAACATTTTTTTATTAGATTTCAATTGGATCAATTGCATTCTTCCTTCTTTTTTTTTCTAATATCCTGATATATATTTTTAGGTGTTAGATGGCGCTATAGTCCTTCTGCTAACTTTATTGCATTTAGTGTAGAAAGTAGGGCAAAAAAGTAAGGTTAAATCCACGCGGTGCGTGCAAGTCGATCAGTATGTCAAAGGCCGATAAAGATTCTGATGTCAGCAAAAAGCTTTCGAACATGGAAATCGAGGAAACGGGTAAGAAGTTAACGCATAAAGAAAAAAAGAAATTAAAAAAGCAACAAGAATATGAAAAAACGGTGGAAATGTTGACGAAACCTGGTGGTCAGGGTCATAGTGAATTAGAATCAAATTTTACTGTTTCACAAAGTCAAACGCAACAACGTGGTAATCAACAATTAGAAAATGCGGTAGATATCAAAGTTGAAAATTTTAGTATTGCTGCTAAGGGTAAAGAATTATTTACCAATGCCAGTTTACTAATAGCTCAAGGCAGACGATATGGCTTAGTAGGACCAAATGGGTATGTAAGTTGTTATTAGACTTAATTTTAGTATGCATCTGCATTTATAAATTATTATGAATAATATAAACATTTTTGCAGGCATGGGAAGACTACTTTGCTTCGACATATTGCTAAAAGAGCTTTCGCAATTCCTCCTAATATAGATGTATTATATTGCGAACAAGAAGTTATAGCTGATAATACTCCAGCCGTAGAGGTTGTCTTGAATGCTGATGTAAAATGTAAGGAGTTACAGGTGGAATGTAAAAAATTAGAAGAATTAATTGAACAAGGAGATAATACGGTTCAAGACCGATTACAAGAGGTAATAGTTTATTTTATTCGTTATTCTATTGTATGTTAATTAGAGCATAATATAATATATGTTTTAAAGGTATATGAAGAATTAAAAGCCATTGGTGCTGATTCTGCAGAACCACGTGCTAGAAGAATTTTAGCTGGTTTAGGTTTTAGTCGTTCCATGCAGGACCGTGCGACTAAAAATTTTTCTGGTGGATGGCGAATGCGTGTTTCTTTAGCAAGAGCATTGTTTGTAGAACCTACTTTATTGTTACTTGATGAACCGACAAATCACTTAGATTTGAATGCTGTGATCTGGTTAGATAATTATTTACAAGGATGGAAGAAAACATTACTTATTGTTTCCCACGATCAAAGCTTCTTAGACAATGTGTGTACAGATATAATCCATTTGGATCAACAAAAATTATATTATTACAAAGGAAATTATAGTATGTTTAAAAAGATGTATGAACAGAAAAGGAAAGAAATGATTAAAGCTTATGAAAAACAAGAAAAACGCCTTAAAGATCTGAAAGCTTCTGGTCAAAGTAAAAAACAAGCTGAAAAGAAACAAAAAGAAGTGCTTACTAGAAAACAAGAAAAAAATAGAACAAAAATGCAGAAGCAGGAGGAAGATACTGGTCCACAAGAATTGTTGCAGAGGCCCAGAGAATATATTGTTAAATTCAGTTTTCCCGATCCACCACCGTTACAACCACCAATACTTGGTCTTCACAGTATGTATATAATAATGATCATATTTCCAGTCACATATCTCCAATCTAAAATATTTTATTTCAGATGTTACATTTTCATATGAAGGACAAAAACCATTATTTATTAATGTTGATTTTGGTATAGATCTAAGCTCTAGGGTAGCTATAGTAGGTCCAAATGGTGTTGGTAAATCAACATTTTTAAAATTATTATTTGGAGAATTAACTCCGCATAATGGAGAACTTATAAGAAATCATCGATTGGTAAGTTTAAAATAAAATATATTTATGTTATTTAATTATTATATCACCATAATATATTCTTTCTTATTTTAATAGAGAATAGGAAGATTCGATCAACATTCTGGAGAACATCTTACCGCTGAAGAAACTCCATCTGAATATCTTATGCGTTTATTTGATTTACCATATGAAAAAGCTAGGAAACAGCTTGGTACATTCGGACTTAGTTCTCACGCACATACAATTAAGATGAAAGATTTATCAGGTGGACAAAAAGCACGCGTAGCGCTTGCTGAACTTTGTCTTAATGCACCTGATGTTGTCATTCTTGACGAACCTACGAACAATTTAGATATTGAATCCATTGATGCACTTGCTGATGCAATAAATCACTACAAAGGAGGTGTTATTATCGTATCTCACGACGAACGCCTTATCAGAGATACCGAATGTTGCTTGTACGTAATAGAGAATCAACAAATCAATGAAATTGATGGAGACTTCGATGATTATAGAAAAGAATTGCTTGAAAGTTTGGGAGAAGTTGTAAACAATCCAAGTATAGCTGCGAATGCTGCTGTTTTGCAGGATTAACTGTAATATAATTTGTCATGGAGGAGAAAATATTTTCCAAGTCAAAAGCATCCTCGGATCGTCTGAATAATTTTAGCAAAACACAAGACAATTTCCGCTCCGATAAAAAAATGAAGCATTTAAATAAATCTAAGCTTGCTCGTATAATACAAAATTACTGTACGAGAACTGGACTTTTGTATAAAATAAATTTCTTCCATGATTAATGTAAAAATAAAGATTGTTTACGATTACGTATATTTTTTCAAATTTTAATCTTTGTAATATCATTAAATAGACAATTAATTGTTTATTATATTTTTTTCTGTTAAAATACAAAATTTACGTAGTAAATGTTTATCAATTAAATTAATTATTGAGAATTAAATGAAAAAATAATGTTCTTTAATATTTAAATGTAATTATCGCCTACGATAGTAGTAAGAATTACCAATAGGTAGCGTAGGCGTAGTGCGTGCGACCGGCGGCGCAATGTTCGCTGCCAAAAAGGGCAGACGAGTGATGTGAAAATTGTCAAATATTTTGTGCGAGATAATATACCGCTGTGAGATTAAACGTGTAAAGGAATCTTAACAATGTCCAGCACTCTAGAAAATAAAATATTAGATTTGCAAGAGCGCCTTCGAGCGGAAAATGAATCGAGAGATAGGGATAGGCAAAGCAGCGAGGTTGGCTTAGGAACGGGCCTGCAACCGTCATCGTCTGGTTCTGCTTCAAGTCCTGCCGTACGCAGGCCAAAGCAACGTAAGTTATAACGAGGATTAATAACTCGAATAAAAATAGCTTTCGTTTTTTTCCAAAAAATTGTTGTCGTTTAAAAGTTCCATCTCCGTGCTGTTTTCTTTACAGAGGTTATGTTGACCATTGCGTTTCTGTTGACTTTGAGACTGGTGTATTTTCAATGAACATTATGCAAAATCAATTATTTCAATGTTTCCTTTATCTTTAATAATAATTATTAAAAATTCGAATTGTACAAAATTAGATTTTATTTGCACATAATCGTGTGCTTGAAAATTCAATACCAGTAGTCTCTAAAATATACGAATAAGATGAAAGTGTATGTCATAGTATAAACATTTAATTTTACTTTTGGACTTTATTCAAATATTGTTACAATTGTTTAATTTTAATTGTTATGCAATCATATGTAAAGATTGTATGTTGCTTTAACCAGGAAATTTATTTTGATGATTATTATTATTATTTCTGTTAATCTAGTTGGCGAAATGGGTACTCCTACTCGATTAAGAAGGCAGCTGGATTTACCAGTATCGCACATGGCACCTCCAAAGAAACACGACAGTGAATTTGAATCTAAGTTGCAAGAAATCATGAAAATGAATGGTATTCTAAATATAAATGGTCAAAGATATCAAACAGAAATGAAAGACTTAGAACATCTAGGAGAGTTAGGTAATGGTACTTGTGGACATGTTGTGAAAATGAGGCATAAACCTAGTGGAGTAGTCATTGCAGTCAAACAAATGAGGCGTTCTGGTAATGCAGAAGAAAATAAAAGAATTATAATGGATTTAGACGTCGTATTGAAATCACATGATTGTCCATATATTGTACAATGTTTGGGTTGTTTTATTACCGAATCTGATGTTTGGATTTGTATGGAATTAATGGCAACGTGCTTGGATAAATTATTAAAAAGAAGTAGACAGGCCATACCGGAGGATTTCTTAGGAAAAGTTACAGTTGCTGTAAGTTTATCGAATCATCGTAATTATATACATTATCCTATTCATTTTTTATTAATTAGATTATTTATTTTGTAGACAGTGAAAGCCCTTTCGTACCTGAAGGAAAAGCATGGTGTCATTCACAGAGATGTAAAACCTAGTAATATTCTTCTTGATGAATCAGGAGGAGTAAAATTATGTGATTTTGGAATATCTGGTCGATTAGTTGATAGTAAAGCAAAAACTAGAAGTGCAGGATGTGCTGCTTATATGGCTGTAAGTATTATTTATATTATTTTACAATCAATTAACAATTATATGAATTATTTTATTAAATATATTTGATCATTTATTTCTTGTAGCCTGAAAGAATAGATCCCCCAGATCCGACTAAACCAGATTACGATATACGAGCTGATGTATGGAGTTTGGGTATTACCCTAGTTGAATTAGCTACTGGTGTATTTCCCTACCGAGATTGCAAGACTGATTTTGAGGTATTTAAAAAAAGAAATATTTCTCAATTGGGTAAAGTAAAAGTTAATGAACATTGTTTTCTAACATTTCTATGAATATCTTTTTAGGTATTGAGCAGAGTGGTACAGGATGATCCTCCGTCCCTCCCTTCAGATGCATTTTTTTCTAAGGAGTTTCGAAGTTTTGTCAGTTGCTGCCTTACAAAGAACTATAAACATCGCCCCAAATATCATAAACTTATGGAACATCCTTTCATCCGCAAGTATGATGTTCCACAAGATGAGGATATAAATTCTTCTTTATCTAATGCTGGCTGCCAGCAGTGGTTTGGTAGAGTTATGCGACAACTGGAACCAAGGTTAGCATTATTATTTAAGAAATTGTATTTAAATTGATTAAATGACATAGTATTAAACATAAAAGCAAATATTTTTCTTTTACATAATGTGATAATATTTTACTCAAAGACAGGCTACGTATAAAAATTTGAAATATTTTTAAATATAGCATGAGTTTCCCAACTAATATAGTAATTATTTGGTTTGGTTTGAAAATAACCGGGTATTGCATATTGCATATAATATGGTTTTTAAAAATGTTAACATGTCTTAGCATTGATTAAAAGTTAGTGGGTAGGTATTTAAACAGCTTCAAAAGTGATGCTGTGTTTAAAAAATTGGGTATTCATTGGATAATAGTATTTATACGATTATCTTTGAGTCTTACCAAATGACATTTGAAAATCTTGACGTACGTTACGATTAAAAGTTTGCGTGCGTGTTAAATTGTGTTACAGCGTTGAGCTTGAGGGAGGCAGCGCAGCGTAGCATCCCCGCTCTCTCGTCCCTACCCTTTCTTCCATTTTCCTCAAAAAATTACCAAAAATTCCCCAAAACTTAAAAAAAACACACCTCAAAAATCCCAAAATGTCTGCCCAATTTTCATTTCGAGTTGTTTGGTTTGTGCACGCGACAGTTACACACCCCACCCTTCAACCCCCGCTCATGGTAAGCATTCTTTTTTATTTATTTCTATATTATTTAACGAATTTTTGATAATGTGACACACGTATCATTTTTACTTGTACACGGTCAATATGTTAAAAAAGATTGTATTATTATGATTTTAATTATTTAAATTTTGATTTGTTTTTCTTTCTTTTCTTTTTTCCCCCTTTTTTTTCCTCTCTTGTTTTTTTTATCCTCCAATTACAGGTCTATAGAGAAAAGCGTAAACAGTCCATAAAATTTGGAACCTTATAGGAAATTCCTTCATCCTTATCTGTGTTGCATGAATTTGATTAATGCTCTAACTTTTATTAACTTTATATAGACTTAGTTCTTTTACAGATTTCAAGATGAAATATATATATATATGATACTATTTTCATGGATATATGATAGTGGCATTTGTCATTCTCCCGGAAGTCAGTGTATTGATGAATTAAAGATTGTAAAAAACGAAGAAAATTGACAACATATCATTCAGTTTCAGGTTTCCAGAGGGACAGCAACGAGTTACTGGTCATGTGTCCCTGAAACAAACTGTTCATTTAAGGGTACAGTCTGAAATACCATCTTTCTTAAAATCTAATAGCACCAAAGAGACACAGAATTCCAGTTTTCTACCATTTCATCAAAGATCTAGTAGCGAAAATGGTGCAGCTTATGTATCCTGTAGTCCATATGTGCTCAGAAGAAAAGAAATTTCCAGGCCGTTCTCTCCGCCAATGAACAACGAAGTTCAACAAAGCGAACTGAACTATCAACGATCATTTTCACCCTATAGACAATCGATTGAACAAAATAAAGATTTCGTTTTGAATCGTTGTTCTAATGGCCAAGGAAAATCCGAGGGAAGACCATTTTCACCATATAGACAAGACACGAATATAACAGACTCAGGAAATAGACCATATTCTCCTTATCACGGCGGACGTTACGAAGAACGAGATAATAGCAAGGATCGATGGCAAAACATCTCACGATCTTTGAGTCCTTTCGCACGAGATTATTCTCCTTGGCGGCGTGAGAATGTTGATCCTCCGGGTGTAATACAACCACCTTGCGAAAGTGGTCGATATTCTCCATTCTTACAGCAAAGACTCGGTCAGATTCCAACTGCACCTCAAACTCATCCACAAAGTCAGGATATATATGGAAGTCCTATGATTAGTCGTAAGAGGTTTGTAATAATCTTAAATATATATTTAAAATTAAATTAATCTCGCGTATCTCATCTAATATATATATATTTTTATTACCAAAATCTAGGTTTCCTTCAGAACCACCTACTCAAGGCTCTCATGGTTCGACCAGTCCTCAATTATTAATATCACGTTTCGCGCATCAATTAACACAAGAACCACCCCCGATGCCACCGTCTCAAGGTGGATCCAAGGAATCTGCAAAGAAACGTTTTGCGTCGTACGTTCGTCTTAGGCTCGGAAGTGATCGTGCTCCTTCACCGGAGCCACCCCCGAGATTGAATCGTGGCGAATCACCCCTTGCTTTAAGAAGGAATATAGGAGATCAGCAATCTCCTTCGTTCTCCAGAAGGTGTGAAATTAATTTAATAAATTAAACACATAAGCTAATCAGGAACAGATCGCTTCAAAAAATATATATATATATATTTTGTTATAGGTATATATCACCTTCTCCACCCCAACCTCCACCTAGGAGATTGTCAGAAAGCAATTCAGTACCTGGCAGCCCTCAGCACGTTCGAGCTCGTTTACGCTACACTCCCGAACCTCAAAGAAGACCTCCGCCACCATAACCCACCGTTAATATTAAAATCGATCCCTTATTGGTGCCATACACGAAAAGAGTCATTCGAGCAATCACGTGCATCTAATATAGGGAGAATTGGGAGGGTGGGAATCGTACTTCAACGAGGATTCGCGTACAAAACAAATTTGTCTTTATGGTGTTCTTTCATAGTGTGTGGATAAAAGTTAAAGAAATGAAAAATCTTTAATACTCGAGCACCTCGAATTAATTAAAAACTTCTACGGTTTAAAAGGGGCTTGTTATTCGAGTCATACATACGTTTACAATAATACGGCGTCAAGGACCGTTCGTGTATATATAAAAAAAAAATATATATATATATATATATAAACTCTTTTTTCGTTATAAAGGGAACGGTCTGTGAAACTAATCTTTGCACAGCTTTCATGACCATGACGTGTTGTAACGTGTGAACTATTCTCAATTGTCAATGATTCTCTTATCGACATAATATATTTATATAGAAATGCAATACGATGTTCGACTTTTTATATCGCTTGTATAAACACGAAAAAAAAAGAAATAATAGGGGAAAACGTAAGTTACTCTCGAAATTTTTCTAAAATCATTAATCATGAGAGGGAAAATAGGAGGAAGAGAAGGAAGGGGAAGGGAATTGGGATTAGGATTGAGTTGTAAGGGGGTGGGGTTGCGGCTGAATCTATTTACGTACCGAACGCGTAAACCGTTCCTATTGCTCTTCGTTTACGCTTCTTTTTTGGGGGAAAAAAAAAATAAAAAATAACAACAATAAAAAAATAAAACAAAACAACAATAATAAAATAAAAAAAGATCCACAAGTACATACGTTATTTGGGTGAAAGACTGATGATATGCGAAAATCGCAATCGCTCTCTTTTTCCCTAGACGGCCTTGCAACGATGCTCGTTTAATCGAATCAACCCTCAGCGAATTTTTCCACGTTTTGTTATCGTTTGTAATATACCAAATGAACTGCGGCCGTAGTTAGGAACGATCTAACGCAAACCAAATCGCAATAAGAAGATAAAGAAGAAGAATAAGTATCGTTCTAAACGGGTATATATATATATATATATATATATATATATTAAAAATAAAAGAAAAATATATATGTATCCCGTGTAAAAAAATGAAAGGCACAATTTTCGCGCCTCTGAGACTATAAAATTTCTAATCTATGTATATTATTTAAGAGAGGCGTGTGTTTTGGGCTAGGATGCGTTGTAATTATTCTTAATTAACATTTATTCATTAACTTCGTGTAGTTGTACACGCGTAATTTTTACTCTTTTGTCGCTTATTTGACAATGGAGGATCTGTTGCAATGTAAATAAACTTATATTTATATGAATCGTATAAAGTTTTATTGTCGGCACACACAGTCGTATTTCTTTCTTTCTTTTATTCTTTATTTTTAATTTCTCTTTCTTTTTCTATTCTCCTTTTTCATACTATTATTTTATAATTACATTCTGTAGATAATTTTATTTATCTATTTCTTATCAATTTGAATAAATTATATTATCATTATCGATTACATATATATATACATGTAATCATCTACCGGAAATGTAAAAATATTTTATTTTTATTTCCAAGTACTATTATATATTTATTTTAAAGAACAAATTAACGTCATTAATTATATAACAATTTAAACATATATAGAAACGTTTCGTATTGTCATTCGTCAGTTCATAGTTTTCTCTTCGAGATATAACTATGAATTTGATTATAAAACATGATCTATTACGGTAGTATAAATTAGTACGTATGTTAATATACGTGCATTCAAAAAATATCGGAAAAATAAAAATAAAAATAATCTCTGAAAGAAATAGATCGTAAGATGTTAACGATAAAATCTTGATTGCTGTATAATTATATTCCTTTATTTTTTTGTATTTAAATAAAAAAGCCATGTTTAAAAAAAGCATCACAACTTAAAAGAATTATATGATGTATAATTAAAGTGAACAGTATATTCCGAGCTATAAGAATTAAAGATATGAATTACAACGGAAACGTTTTCAACAGTTAACGTATTAAAAAATATAATAATCTAAAGGAAGTATATATTCGTTTAATTAATCGATTGATTTAGATAAACGGTCTTTGTTGGTCTCGAGAAATAACTAACGTTAACGAGTAATTTAATAAGATAAGGGCTCGTGCTTTAGGATCGTTTTAAAAATAAATTCCTCGCTTGGATCAGCGCGTCCCTGAGCAATCAATATGGCCTCCAGTTCTACGCGGGGCCCAACAGTGCAGAGCAGGTTTTTCTCGAAATACCATCGATAGGAACGTGTTACCTTGAAAATAAATTAGCCAAGACGCTAACCGATTTGGTAAAGCTCATTTTCGCAGTGATAAGAAGTAATTGAGTAACAGTGTTCAGTCAAAAAGAAATATCAAATGATTATAGTTTGTGAACATAGCGCGTAAGATATTGCATGCGTATACATACACACATAATACATGATGCACATATGCATAAATACATATATGTGTGCGTGTATGCGTATATAGATATATGCATCTAGATCGGTGTGTAATTCATCGTTGGACCGATATTCATTTCCGTTTTACATTTACCCGGTGCCATGATAATAGTTCATAGATATTCTAATTAATAACTATTATTTCTTAACTTCGACGTTTCCTCATTCTAATTTTTCCGAACCTCGTGTCGTGTTTCCACGCAGCTTTTCTTATACGGTGCCATGTCCGAGTGTAAAAGTCAGGATGCCGCTAATACGAAAGAGGGTAGTCAAGAAGAGGGCGAAGATTCGGACATGGCCGGTGGTGTCGAGGATAAACTCAGTATCCAGCAGATCCTCGAGGGCATGACCAATGAATTTAATAAAAGTGTAAATCCAGTTAAAAGCGTGGATGTTAATCGACCCTCTGAAAATGTGGATCATGAGGAACTCCAAAAATCATCAACGACGACAATTGTTGACGAAATATCAAATGGTATTGATGGGAATTCTAACCTGGACAAATCTGAGGATGTTACAACTACAACAACCACGGAGACAACAACGACGGCGTCAATACCTACGACGACGATGACGACGACGATGATGACGACGATGACGATGACAGCGGCTGCAACGGCACCGACAACGGTGATGATGACGTCGATGACGACAACGACAACGACAACGACGACGGCGACGACGACGATGATAACGACTACGACGACGTTGACAACGCCGATAGCAACGATGGCGATGGCGTCAACAATAACGACCGCAACAACAACAACAGCTCAAGAGGACAATAACGTGGAGCCGGTAGTCGAAGAAAATCATCTATGTGACGATGAAGGTACTCTAAAACAAGAATTAATCAAGAAAGATAACAATATTCCACGTATAGTTTTAACATTTAGAACTATTGACGAGAATACGGATCATGGAAAGAAAACTAAAATATCCAGTTGTTCCTCCAACCTCAATTTAGTACCAGATGAATTGGCCAATTGTGATCAGATTGGTGGTGTTTCCGTTAAGATAGAAAATCCAGATGAAAGTTCTGATATCGTTGAGAAGTCTGATTCTGAGGAATGCAAAATCGAAGAGAAGCAAATGGAAGATACACAGGATAAAGATAAAGTACAAGAAGAAAAAGTAGAAGAAGAAGAAGAAGAGAAGCAAGTTAAGGAAGCGGAAAAGAGTAAGAATATAGAACAACCTGTAGTTGATGAAAAGAACAACGAAAAGATTGCTGTTACTGATGAAACTCCTGTTCCTTCGGATAACGTTCCTGAACCACCACTATCTACTACACCAATAACCAGAAAGAGAAGAGTTGGACGACCTAGATTAAGAACACTTAGGTTTTTTATTTTCTGTTATTTTATATTCATAAATATATGTTCATGATATTTGTAAACATTCCGTGACATTTTTAGTGATTCAACAGAAGAAAATCCTGGTCCAAAACGTTCTGCGAGAAGATTGTGCAAAAAATCCTTTAAAAGTACAGTTTTAGAAAGTGCAATGGCAATAAAAGAAAAGTCTAATTATACAGAGGAACATTTGAACTTAAAAAAGCAAAGAAAGTACAATAAGCCTGGACGACCAAAAAAACTATCTCAAGGGAAAGCTCGTCAAGAATCAGAACCACCTCTTCCAGAAATAGATAATGCTTTTGAGGTAATTATGAATTCAGAGACTTTTAGAAGTACTAACTTAGGAGATGGAAGTATGAATGATACGAGTTTGGATGATTCTCCAAGTTATTCCTCTGAATTTGATGGTATGCCTAAATTATCTCCTATGACGAGAAGTTCAGATGTACAAACAAAATTAGGTAGTTCTATTGGTAGTCCTTTGAGCGATGAAACACCTTTAGCAGATATAGAAAAACCTTTTTTAAAACCTGCTACTGGTAAACGTAGAAAAGAGAGAGGTCGTCCTCGTGGAAGTCAAGCCGCTCGAAAAATAGCTAAAGCAGATTCGTTTGAAGGTAATTTAAACTATAAAATATATATTTCTTTTTTTTTTCTGGACATCTTTTCAACAGAATATTAATTGCAGATGGTTCACCAAGTGTTGCAGAAGCAGGAAAGCACAATGATTATCCTGAAGGTAAATCCGATTTCAATTATTTATATTTTTTTTTTTATTGATATAAAATATTTAATAATATTTAGATCATTTTTTAGAAGGTGCTGTACCTGCAAAAAGAACCCGTCGAAGTATGGCTCCTAGTCCAAGTCCTGCAGAAGGACAAGCTTCAAAACCAGAATCTACAGCTGTTGTTAGTGAAGTAAGTTCACATTACTATTATTATAATTACTTATAATAATAATAATAATAATAATAATATAATAATCATTACAATCATTTTTCAGACATATGGACAATCTATGCTGTGCTTATGTCAAGTACGATCTCAACTTTATGTGACAATAACAGGCTCTGGTGCACCTCTTTATTGTACAGCTATAGATTCTATTGATAATAGAATAGTAGGATGTTGTAACGAAGTTGATAGTAATGATGTTGCAATGAGAAGACCTAGTACTCGAGTTCCTTTTATTATATTATGTCGGATGCATAAGGAAAGACTTTTAAGACATAATTGTTGTCCTTCTTGTGGATTATTTTGTACACAAGGTAGATTTGTTCGATGTACTAATGGCCATCAATATCATAAAGAATGTGAAGTATATCCAAATAAAAAAGCAGCTTGTCCACATTGTGGAAGTGAAAGTACAATTTATGATGTAATCGTCACAGTCAGTGGAATGCGAAGACCTGTATTTATACCAACTCGAAAGAAATTTTCTAAATTACCATCCGCGAAAATGAGCTTACCTGGTAAAGGAGATAATACAAAATTAGCAGAACGTCCACCTAGTCCTTTAATAAAGCCTGAGATTATTAAAATACCAGAACCATCAATTAATGCAGAAAGACCAGAACGCTATACTATCATGAGTCTTTATACATCTGTGAAAAATGGCGATTTAGAAAAGTTGGTTAATGTTTTAGGTCGGTTTCTCAAAATACTTAGTTTCCTGTACACATTTAAATTATTTGATATACAAATAAAATATAATAATAATAATAAATATTTTACACTTTCAGCTTGCGGTTACAATGCAAATCATATATTTAGAGAATATGCTCATCGTAGTGGTTTACACATTGCTGCAGACAAGGGTCACTTGTCTTGTGTGCATGTCTTAGTACAAGCTGGTGCTCAATTGGATGTGATGGATAGAAATCAATTGACGCCTTTGATGTTAGCAGCTAGTAAAGGAAAATCTGATGTGGTAAAATATTTAGTTAGGATAGGTGCGGACGTAACTATGAAAGGTGAAGATGGCATGACTGCTTTACATATGGCTGCAAAATCTGGTCACTTAGAAGTATGTCAAATTATTTTAACTGAATGTAAAGTTCCAAGAACTTTAGTAGGTAATCAAATAATCTTTTAATTTTATACGTTTTAAAATTAAATGGATTGGAATTTATTTGGTTGTTGTTATTATATTAAATTTATTATTTCATTCATTAGATTCTGTCGATGATGGGGGATGGACAAGCTTAATTTGGGCATGTGAATTTTGTCATACTGATGTAGCAAGGTTTCTATTAGATAAGAAATGTGATCCATTAATCAGGGATGCAGAACAGAATATAGCACTTCACTGGAGCGCTTATAGTGGAAGTTCAGAGATTACCGAAATGCTTCTAAATGAAGGATGTGATGTAAATGCAGTCAATGTTCATGGGGATACTCCTTTGTAAGTTGAATTCTGATAGAATGATTATTTTTCTAGTTATGAAAATAATTATATATGATATAATGAAGAGAAAAGAGGGAGGGTTAATTTAATAAATTGATATATATTTTTGTAGGCACATCGCTGCAAGACAAGATCAGTATGCAGTTAGTGTTTTATTGTTAGCTAGAGGAGCAAAAATAGGAGAAATAAATGCAGCTGGAGAAACAGCTGTTAATTGTTGCCTAAATGATGGCGATACTATATCGGCATTAAGATTAAATGCTAAAGTTAATGAATTGTCTGAACATATGTGGGAAAAAACTGTTAAAATATTAACAAAGTAAGTGTGTTTGTTGATAATAAAATATTAAGTGCATAGAAGATATTCAACTCAAAGTAATCTGTCTTTATAGTGACATTTCACGCGGTAAAGAAACAAATCCAATACAATGTGTTAATGGTTATGATTCTGAAGATAAACCAACAGATTTTCTTTATGTAACTGAAAATTGTTTTACCAGTAATATACATGTTGATCGTACAATAACATCTTTGCAGTCATGTCGATGCGAAGATAATTGTAGTTCTGAAAAATGTCTCTGTGGAAATATAAGTTTAAGATGTTGGTATGATGAAGAAGGTAAACTTATTCCAGAATTTAATTACACTGGTAAATACATTTTCGTAATATGTTATTAAACGGAGGTTTATATATTATTTATATATATAAATAATCATTTACTCAATCTAGATCCTCCCATGTTATTTGAATGCAATCCAGCTTGTGATTGTAACAGGATAACTTGTAACAATCGAGTTGTTCAACATGGTTTGACACAGAGATTTCAGTTATTTAGGACACAGGGTAAAGGTTGGGGTCTTAGAACTCTACGACATATTCCAAAGGGTACATATGTTTGTGAATATGTGGGAGAAATTATATCGGATTCTGAAGCTGATCATCGAGAAGATGATTCATATTTATTTGATTTGGATAATAGAGTGAGCATAAAGAATTCTTATCAACATTAATTGTTCCTTAAATAACATCTAATATATTTTTTACGTATATATTTATAGGATGGGGAAACATATTGTATTGATGCAAGACGTTATGGAAATATTGCACGATTTATTAATCATTCTTGCGCACCTAATTTATTACCAGTACGAGTGTTTGTTGAACATCAAGATTTGCATTTTCCTAGGATAGCATTCTTTGCTAATCGAGATATCGAAGCCGACGAAGAGCTCGGGTATGTTAGAAAAACTAGATTCATCCGAAGAATTTTGAAACGGCTCTGTATAAAATACTAGATACTGTTTCATATAAACTTCGTTAATAAATTTTCTTCAAGTTTGGTTTTAGTTGCCTAGACTCTACCTTTGTTGCTTTTTATATTAGGCATCTTTAATTTGAGGAAACATTTTGGTATATTTCATTGGTTTTATCTTTTATCAATTTATACATTGCACATGTATATATATTACGTTTTAAGATTATTATTTGTATAACTAAAGTTTTAAGTATATTTTTTAAAGATACTTTGATTGAAAATTTTCTTTGAAAACATTGTTGTTACGTTATCGACGATTATAAAGCGATGGAATTCAATATTTTGTCTTTTTGAAATATTATTTTATTTTCTTTCAAATTACATATGAATTGATTTAAAATTGTGTACGTTTTAAAATAAAGATCAATATTCATTGACATTGTTTGCCTTCAGCTTCGATTATGGGGAAAAATTCTGGATAATAAAATGCAAGTCTTTCACATGTACCTGTGGAGCTGAAAACTGCCGATATTCGGAGAAGACCATACAAGTAACGTTGGATAACTATCGGAGAAAAATACAGCAAGAAGAAATGCTTTCCGGTCAAGTGCCGTAATTTTATGGCGACAAAATCTATAGTTTTGATTTTATATTCTTATATTACCAGATAATATTTTACGCTTTTAAATATATATATATATATATTTTTTTCTCATTTTTTTTAATCTTTATGTATAAACGGAGAATCTTTCTCTTTTATTTTTATTTCGACAATGTTTTTCCCTTTCCCAAGAGTACAAGTACAAATGGTGATGGGATATAGAAATTTTATAGGGATAACTGGTCCAGTTATACCTCGCATTCAAACATAGAACCGAACTGAATTTTATTTCAGTTCACTGATATTTTCCTCAGGTTTGGCCATACTTTCCTATTAAGCCGACTTTTTGAAAGAATAAATGCCTTTGGTGAATGTGCCACTTATCAATTTTATTTAATAAGATACAGCGATATAACGATGCATTAGCGTTAATAAAGCGTATTGCCGTACATATTGTACGAATCACAAGAAGAGAGATACGACTTTTTTCAACTGTAATTATAATAGATTATTAAATATGTTGTGTGAGAGAAATATTAGAATTGAACGAATTCTATTATTAAAATAAATCAAATGTAACTGTACGACGTCCGTGAAATTAAACCTCTATTCTCTAGAATATTTTATTTGTGGTTGTTGTTAAATTGCGGATCGTATCGTCCAGGAGCACAGTTTTGTGAAGTGATTGTTAACGAGTTTTGGCAAAACTTGATATACATATATATATATATATATATATATATCTATGCAAGTTGATGATGATCACAGGAGACCGTATTATGGTACGGTGACGCCGTCTAATGAGCNTATATATGTATAAGGTTGCACTCTTTTTTGTACAAATGAAATACATTTTGTGTATAATAAAAGTTGTAGTCCTTCGTAAGACTAATTTTAAAGGTTCGTTCTATAATCATGTATATAGGCGTATTTGTTACGTAATACGTGTCATCTGCATACGTAATATATTTGTAAAATATGTTTTGATTCGTTTTTATATGTCCTTTTCCATTTACTTTTTTATCTTTTTATCGTAATAAAATAAAATATATTTTTCTGAACAATATTTAACATATGTATTTAGTTATATAAAATTAATTTTTCATTTTAAATTTATATATATTTTTAATAAATTTTAAATGTATAATAGATAATAATAATTCGAAGTGCACATGTGCGTTGATCGTCTTTTTTCTCGGATTTCCGCCAGACATCATAGTTGTCTACACAAAGGTTTTAATCGGAACGTTATCATCTCTCCACATTGCAGGTAATTCTCTCATTAATATTTTATCATTCTATATTTCTAGCCATTAAATTATCATCAAAGTAATATTTTTTCTCGAAATTGTAGTTAGTAAATAATAAAAACATTTAAGTAATTTATATATAATATTCATGACGTATATAATATTTAGAATATTTAAGAGTATCTCAATCATAATTAATATCTCATTAATGAATAATTTAATAAATTATAAAAATTGTAATTAATGAACAAAGAAACTTAAAAGATTGAAATCAAATCGTTGATAAAAATCTAATATAAATTTCTTTAATATTCTATGTAATTTCCGTATATGCATATATTGAAATTATACTAAAGTGTGTTAGTTTTCAATAAAATCATTGATGTTACTTGAATTAATTGAATAGGTAATAATTAAATTCTTTTAACTCTTCCTGATTAATATATTATAATATTTTTATATCTTTTTCATTGTTTTTTTTTCCCCCTAAATATTCCTTGCACAGTAATACTCTCGAAAAATCTTATTTATTACCTTTAATTACCTAATTACCTTTATATATTTCATTTATTTTATTACAAAATATTAAAAAGTGAAAATTCATAATTAAATATTATTCTGTTTTCTATTCTAAGTATCCTTCATATTGGAATAAACTTAACGTGAAGTGGTTTAGAAGGGTTCATAGTTATATCTGCATTTATAATGACATCTTCGAGTTCGTCCACCGGTTCCAGATTAAAATTATGCAAAATATGGGCTATTAATACTTTCAGTTCAAACATGGCAAATTTTTGACCTATTAAAAAGAAAAAAGGGACAATTAATTCGATAGTTTCTTATTTTTTTTTTCTTCTTCTTTTTCTTTGTATGTAACATTTACCAATACAGTTTCTCATTCCTGCACTAAACGGTATGTACGAGTAAGGATGACGTTCTTTCATATTTTCCGGTAAAAATCTATCCGGATCAAAAATATCCGGATTTGGCCAATATATCGGATTTCTGTGTACGTTGTAGATACTCACTTGACAACTTGATCCAGCGGGAACTACGTAATTACCTAAAAATGATAACAAAATATTTTTTTGCTCGCGCGTTATTTGATATATAAAAAATAATAATTAAAACGAAATTATATAAGTAAAACATAATACATACTCAATTGCAAATCTTCATTTAAATAACGAAATATAGTATGAACGCTTGGATATAAACGAAGTGATTCTTTTATGCATCTTTCCAAATATGAACAATCTTGAAGCATCGAAGTCGTCAGTTTACAATCTTCTCGTTGCATGACCGTGTTCACTTCGCGTCTTATATTTTCCTATATAAATTAAATCAATTAATATATATATAATTATTGATTTATATTAAATGAAAAATACATCTCGCGTTTGTTTGATTATTTATTTTTGATTGTACTGAATATATTACCTGAACATTTCTGTGTTTTGCAAAAAGACTCAATGCAAAGCACAATACCATAGCCGTAGTGTCGTGACCCTTTAAAAATATTTCTTTGAATATATTGTATCATTAAGAAGAAATGATGAATAATTATATTAAAATTTACCTCGAACATAAATGTATCAACTTCCTCTCGAATTCCATCATAATCGATTTGTTTATTTTCCAAATTCAAAACTATAAGTAGATCTAACAAACAAAGTTTTCTTTTCAATCCCGTTCCTGTAATAAATGTTATTATTTTAATCGATATTTTCATTATTTTTATAATTACGCGATTAATATTGAAAATACTTTTATTATATTCCTCCAATTCTTCCGAAATTATCTCATTTTCTTCATTAACTTGATTTAAATTTTGTAAATATTTATAATCCGTTTGTTCGTGAAAACGCATTCTTTCTGCAATTATCTAAAAAGAGTAAAAGTAATATAATTATTAAAATCTATAGATTTATCCGCAAAATATAAAGTAAAAGGTGAAATTATGCAATTAAAACGAGTGACATACATTTTTGGAAAAATTGTGCAACGTTTTCAACAGTTTCTTTTCCAACCGACCTGTTGGTGAGAAGGCAAATAATTTATCGAAATGGTACCAAGGTCTCACAAATCTAACGAACGATATAATTGTTTCATTATAAATTAAATTCTCTTTTTATTATACGATTAAATAAATTATTAATATTAAAAATGATTAATTACCTATATGGTATTATTTTTCCGTAACCATGAACGGCATTACGATATTCAGATTCAAGGTTACCCTTTTCTTTTAATGAGATACCCAAAATCGTTTCTACAAATAATCTTGTGTTAATGAATTTTTTATAATTTTTAAAGAACAAATTTAAAAAATATGATCATTTAATATTTTATACCACATATTATATTTAAAGAATGCTTCGTAATAAGTTGTAACAAATCTACGACGATAAAACCATCATCTTGTTCTTGTGCTTCTTCTCGTAAAGATCTTACGAGAAATTGGGCTTCCTCGTTAAATGTAACGAGAAAATGTTTAATTATATCGAAGTGAAAGGTAGGTGTCAATATTTTTCTTCGTTGTTGCCATTTTTCACCTGTTCAGTAAAATTGAATAAACGAGAGAATATTATATAATAAATATATTCAAGATCCAAAATTTTCAATTTAATCTGTTACCTCCGCTAGTAAGCAATCCAGTAGAAAGCCAACTCTCCATATATTTGTATGGGACATATTTGTTTGTAAGTTTTTTACTTGTCATAAATATCTACAATCGTAAAAAATATTTATCCTTACCTTTCATTTAAATGTGATTGAACTGCGTGTGTGTGTGAGATTTTATTTAATTAATCACTAACCTTAATATCTTCCGGATGAAGTAAAATTATAGACGAGAAAAAAAGGGACCATATTTTGAATATAGGATAAAATTCTTCCCCAAAATTCCAATATTTTTTCATGAATATTTCTAAAGTAAAAAATAAAAATGTGAAGATTTTTACATTAAAATACTTTGTATCGAATAAAATGAATTAAAAATGATTAAACGATTAAACGCGAATTTTCATTTTTAAACAGTTTACCATTGGGAACTTGAAAATGATGCATATTTCCGATTAAGGGATATTCTTTTGGTCCTGGAATTTGATTGAGAAGTCTACCTTCTCTTCTGTATCTTATGTAACAGTGTAATATAAATAAAAATAAAATCAAACTCGTCAGGATCATGAGAAACATTGTATCTGTAAAAAAACGAATAATAATCGAATAAATTTCTTGTAGTATATAATTATGTGTGTATAATTATAATAAGCAGGTATAATCAAACGTTCAATCCCGAATAATTTAATATTGCGAGTAACTTGATATTACGAATGTTATGCGGAATGTTACGCAAGACGAGTAATAAAAACTTAACGCAACAACTAACAATTATCTGCAACAATGTCAATCCTATTCGTAATTCGATAGAATAACTTTTAACAATTTTCATAGAATTTTTCATACAATTTTTTATAGACTTTTCATAGAATTTTCTTTAAAATATTTTATAGAATATCTTTAAAAACTATCGATGCACACACACACACACACTTTTAAATACTAATCCACTTTTCATTATTTTCGTCTTAAGTTTCTTTTCTATCGAATTTCTTTTTTTTTGTTTTTTACTCTCACACACTCGGCCGTTCTGACAAAAAATATTTCTATCCTCGTATATACGATTAATCTTTACCGTCCTCGTTTTCAAGATATTTTGTTTTAGATATTTTTTTAGTGGAGGGGATAAGCCTACCTTGATCGATATAAAAAAGTGGGAAAAGAAATTTATATCCTCTGTCACAATCACTTTCTCGATTTTCGGCCCTTCTTCTTTCGGTTGAAATAAAAATTATCGTTATTCCGTATCACCTTTTTCTACGCGACGTTGTTTATTCTTTCGAATTGATAAAACCCTTTTCATCGACTTCACTGTTTTTTTTTTTTTTTTTTTTTTCTTTTTTTAAAAAACTATTACGAAATTTTCTCGTTCGTGTGTTCGGTGAGCAACTTGTGTCGTCCGCAACTTATATCTTCTACGACTATTAACATATTAAGTATACCAGTCCAGTATATATGCAGATTTCTAATTCCATCGTTTAAGTGCTGTCCCTGAAATGTTACAGCAATATTATTTGCTTTTATGAATATCTTACAAGGCTATTTCCATTTTAAACATTGATTTGCATCTTACATATTGATTTGTATTTAATTATCTCAGAAATATAGAACGGATTTCTTTGGAAGCAATTAAATATTTTCTTTAACACTACTCGTTTTTCAAAAAGACGCAAATAAGTGTGTAAGGGCGTAAGGGCTTTTGTGACTGAATGTGGAATAATAATAAAGCTTCTATTAAATATCGATTATAAAATCGTGGTTCCAACACGCTGGTAATCGCATCAAATCACAAAGTCAAGAAATTTACATTTATTTATGCCTATTATAAATGAACAGAATTTTTGTATTTAATTATAATAATTATTTGATTTCAATGTTTATAAGTTATTACATCGATGTATTAACTATAAACAAAAATAAAATTATTAAAGTATGAAAATTTTTTGTTACTTTATTCAATTAAAAAAAAAAGAAAACAAATTTTTGAATAACCACACAAATATTCCATCTTATTAATGTTAAACTTTTGAATATAAGATTTGAATTTTCTTACTGACGTCAGAAAACGGTGCATAAGAGGTCTTTATGTTATCTTTTTGACCAATTTTTACGGATGTCAGATGAAAAAAATCTGTTGTTTTAAAACTCTTTAAGATAACTTTTTGTTGAACGAGTAATTTTTGATTTTACATTACACACGTTTTTTCCTTAGGCACGTTTTGTTGTCTTATATTCCCCTGACAGTTCTTTGTGATGTGGCCATATGATTTCTATCGAAAACATTTTATACCAGTGATTTACGATGGGCACTTTTGATTTCGGAAATTTATTCTTTTGCAATAGTAGTTATCCTTGCTTTTATTCACGCTCAGCAGTTTAGATTTTTTTTTGTATTCTTTCCTTCGTAATCATATACAACACGAACTTTTATTTTACGTTTTAACGTTTGCTTTAATTTATTCGTGTTCTTATTCTATTGGCACATACTTCTAACATATCCTTGAATTCCTTGATCCAACAATTATCTTTGATCGTACCGTCTCCAGTAAATGTTTGCAATGATTCTTCTTCTTCGTTAAAAGTAAACGTTTTCGTTCGTTAATTCGATTCCATCCCGGACGAGTCCCCAATTGAAAGATTTATATTACGTGTTCTCTTTTTATTTATTTATTTAATATTTAATAATATATTAATAATGTTTATATATAATAAGGTTGAATTATTTGATATAACGAGATGAGATAGAATAAAATGGTAAGTATCTATAATCGTGTAAATCTAGATTTTTTCTTTCTTTTTTTTCTTAATTAATATGTTTTTCAAATTTACAAATGAACGATAGTAATAACAATTTATTTTGGAGAAGATTTAAAAAATGATTTATTATTAATTATTGGAATAGAAAACATATTTCTATTCCATTCATATGATCTCTTTTATGCTTTAAAGGATTACATAAACATTATAAATCTATACTATGAATAATAAACGCAATTTTTTTTTAATCTCACGATTATGTGACATACTTTTGAAAAGATAACAGTCAATACTTTGTATAAAATCTATCTATAAGTAGGATTTTTTCGAAGCTACTTTAGATATGCCCGTTAATAAATTATTTTATATATTTGTTATCTTCTTAATTTTCTTAAATTTTCTTAAATTTAATTAAACGTCATCGCGATAACGAATTTGCTCAGTTATGCTATTGATACTTTGTACAAACTGCTGAAACGAATTGGTAGATAAGAATGTCAGTTAAAATTCTTCGTTCGATATCTTGTAAAAAGATTGAACGTCTGTATTTACTCCTGGAGTACAATGTACAGTTCTAATGAAACACTGACACAAATGTGTAAAGTTTCAAAAAAAATCTATTAAGGGTCGCGAGGTGTGATAAGCCCTTGTAAAATATGATACAAAAAGCACATAGTTTTAATTCGAACAGAATATTTTTGGAATTTGACCTTTCCGATGCAAAATTTGTGTTGAAATCACTACTCAATATCATCGACATCTTATCGTAATTTTTGTTCAGAATGCGAGGAACCTCGAGGAGTGTATTTGATTCAATTTTTTTTTAATAAAATCAATAATATTTTGAATTGACATATATATATATATCGATATATATATATATCGACGGAGAAACGTATATAGCGATTAGAATTACTTACCCATTTTTTAAATTTGCATTAACAAGCACACAACTCTCCAATAATTAAAAATTTGGTTTGATGCGTATATTTATGTCCAACCGAGAGATTATAACTCACACTTTAATTGTACAACAATATCGAAATTGTAAACTGTTTTATCAACATTAAATATTAGGAACAATTCTATCAAATTTTACACGATATATAAAAATTTAAGAACTTGAACTCTTTTTGTTATGAACTGTTATATCTGATGTATGTAAAAAAATAATCTAAACACTCTTTTCTTTCTATTTCTTGCTGCTTTTAATTTTTCAATCAACTTGTCAACCGATTTATTTATTTCTTTAAAAATCTTCTTTCCTGCATATATCATGTTCGCTTATCTTTCTATAAATAAATGCTTAATGCATTTTATATTGCTTGACATATACTATCCTTACTTATATCAATTAAATTTCGATAAGTTACACATACACACACACAAATGCACACACAACATAAATGTGTATTATTGGGAAGAAATACGTACATAATAATTTATACAAATAATGATAGAAAATTAACGTATATCAACTATGTGATCACGTTCTATTTTTAAAAGTAAAAATAAGTATCTCATATCTATGAAATAGATATTAACATAGTGTATGAAAAGATCGGTAGAGTACATGACCAAATAATACAGAAGTATATACTTGCTATTAAAAGTTACTAGGAAATAAGAAAGTTTCAAATATATTAAAATTCTAGTAACATGGCTAAGCCAATATCGGTAATAGTAGTGCTCTACCTTTATCTTGCCTACAGTCGGTAATACGACTTACCGACCGAAAAGGTCTGATGGTAAGTTACCATCAGAATTACCGACAGTAAAAAAATTGACGGCAGAAAGAATTTAATATGTGCTCTTAATTGCTCATTAAAAATCCCAAATTGCCAGCTTCAATTATTATTTATTTCATTAGTTATTCATATATGAAAATATTCTCCGTCGGTACGTCATATTACCGACTGTCGGCAAGATAAAGGTAGAGCACTACTATTACCGATATAATTTTTTCTGCTGTTAAGGTTCGTTAACTGTGCTCCTACCGTTGGGAAATTTAAAAAACAGTCAATAAAACTTAAATGGAACAAGTGCTTAACAATTTTAAATTCCTTTAAAATAATCTATTAATAAAAGCTTTGAAATTGATCGCTGTAATATATAGAAAATATAAATCATAGTAAATCATTTAGTGAAATGTTTGTAGTATATGCGTGCTAACGATCGATTATAAAAGAATAAGTAATAATAATTATCGACGAAATGATGCAATAAGATTGAACATTTCTTCCTGTAAATAAATTGATCAGAGAATATGGTGATTCGGGATTTTTATCAACTTAATTGAATTATAAACAAACTACACATATTACTATAGGTATGTTTGTATGCATATATTTATATATATTTACTTTTGTATATATTTGTATATCCACGCTATAAATTTACTTCATTTGAAGAGGTTAGAAATGATAAAGGATGATTTATTTGTGTGGTTATTAGGGTGCAATATTTGTTTTTTAAGAGTAACATAAATCACGTGATAATATATTAAGCTTGAAGTGAATTAACTTAAGTTCTATTTAAAAACTATGAACTGTAGTTTCTGTTTAGAGATTATGAATTTCAGTTTCAATTAACAATAATAAAAGAAAATCATTCTAAATAATGTATTTTTAACAATCCATTAACAAAATAATTTTATTTACAGATTATAGTGATTAAGAAAAATAATAAAATTTGTCTTGTATTTATTTGTCTATAGATATTATATATCTCATTTATTTATATAATAATTATTTAACATTTAATAATATTTTTCCCGCCAAAAAACTTGCTTGCATTCCTCGTGCTTCCTATTTTCAGAAAGTTTTTATCGATCTAGGATGGCAGCACTCAGCTGCTAATCATAACCTTAATCTTAAACAGTAATATATAACATTATTATCAAATAGTTTTCTAAGTGTTAAAAAAATGAACCTGTGAGAAAACTTATGTTTATTATCATACACGATTCAATTGCGTAAATAGATTATTTTATCTTGTTGTTGATTCATTTATATCCACAGAATGCTATATTGCATTTAATGTTTTTCATCTTAACTTGTTTTATTACATCATTGTATGAACGAAATGAATTAAATAGCTCACACAAAAATGTACGTAAAAAAAGATTAATTCGTTAAATCGTTAAAAATAAATACACATTTTTACCAATTTATTTCTTTCCTAGAAAATTGTAAAAAACATGTGTACCTGTGTATGAATCTTATGAAGAAAAATGGTAAAGACAAATAGCAAAAGAAAGTCTATTATACTAGCAGCTTTTAAAAATTCTGCTACACGACGAAGAGAATAAATAATAATGTATAATACATAAATTAAAACCAATGATAGCAATAATAGTAATTGCAATGTCAGTGCGAAGAAAGAAAAGAATACTTAGGATAAATCTAAAACACTTCCTAAATAAGTAGATTTCTCAATAATGTGTAATTATTTACAAGTATTAATTATATTTATTAATGAATTGGATAACGTTCAAAAAGAAATATTAAACACATGATACTATACATACAAATTTGTTAGACAAAAAATAAGAACAAAAAAGAATACAAATATTGTTATTATATGTTTTTTTTTTTTATTTATCGATTGCCATATACTTGACAGTAGTGATAAGAGTTGTTGATTGAAGAGAATAAAAAGTAATTATAAAAGTAGTTAAAAATTGGCCACATAATAAGACATTAATGAAAGATGATAAGCAACATAAATGTGAATGAATAATATGAGCGAATCGACTTGATAATTTTCATTTGGACAGACGAAGAATGTAGATGTAACTGGAGAGTTAAACTATTTGCTTAAAACAGCTATATTTGCAGAATTGGATATGTACCCGTACGTAAATCTTTGATATTGTCCTTTGGTTTAGGTGTATAAATAAATGGAAGAGTGAACATGGAAGACATAGAATTCAAAGTAAGAATTTATATTTTTTTAAATAAAAATAATTAATATTTATTATATATATATATATTTTTTTTTTATATTTTTATTATTTATTATAATAATGTGTGTGTGATCTCACTTTATTTCGAATCAAATTATTGTTTCAATGTTTGTGCATATGTTTTAATCTATTATATATATTATCTTGTAAAATTAATTAGAGATAAAAATGAAGAGTAGAGATAAAAATGTTATGAAATCAATATATCGAGCAAGTTTCATAGATGAAATACATCTATAAATTCAAACGAAATTAAAAACCAATATTTTCCCGGGTTCTTCAAATTTAAATCGAAATTTTTGCAGATGGTATCGACGAGTTCGAAGTACAGTTGCAAATTTTGCACAAAATATTTCCAATGGATAAAATTAATTTCGGTGGAACCAACAATGTGGCTTTATATGATGGCTTTTATGATAACTTCGGTAGTGGAGCAAGATTTTTTTATATACAAAGCCTGCAGAGTAGATCACAATTTATCAGAAGAGATATGTGCAGATTTGAAGTCTAACAATACTTTAAAAACTGAAGTTCAAGTAAGTTATTATTTTCAAAAAATACTAATTAATCAAATGATAGAAAAATCTATATTATTAATTAATTAAATCGTGTCATTTTTTTAGGTGACCGTATCGGAATTTCATCAATGGAACAATATTGCTGGTCACGTAGTACCGATCATTTTAGCATTGTTTTTCGGAAATTGGAGTGACAGACACGGTAGAAAATTGCCATTGATTATAGGATTGATCGGAAAATTTCTATATTCTTTTATGGTGATTGTTAATTCGTTTATTAGTTCTTGGAATTTAAACATGGTGATATATACCGCGAGTTTACCTATGGGAATGCTTGGAGGAGATGTTGCTATATTTGCCAGTTGTTTTTCATACATATCGGATATAACGACAGTTGAAAAGAGGACTCTAAGGATCACTATACTCGATATTATTTATCTTAGCACTATGCCTACCGGTAAGAATAAATTAAAAATCGTTTTATTTTATTTTATTTTATTTCTTTTCCCCGTAGAAAAGAATTTTTGTGTTATACTATTTTTGTCTAATTTTCTAGGCGTAGCCTTGGGTTCTTATCTATTCACAAACGTCGTAAATTCCTCTCATGGAATAATGTTTTCAATAAATGCTGCTCTACTCGTCATTGCTATTATCTACTCTTTTCTAAATCTTGAATGGCAAACCCAACAACGCCAACAAATATCGAACGATAATCCTTTCATAGATTTCTTTGACAAAAAGCACGTAGAAGAAACAATTAAAACGCTAACGAAAAAAAGAGAAAATCATAGAAGAGCTTATCTTTGGATTTTACTATTAGCAATGGCGCTATACACTTTCCAAAGAGATGAGAAACCTATGAGCTATCTTTATACACAACTAAAATTTAAATGGGGTGTCACAGACTTCAGTCAATTCAAAACATTTCTATCTACACTTTTTGTAATAGGTTAGTCACACATAAATTCTAATAGTAATTGATATTTATTAATTCTTTGGTTTTTTAAGAAATTTTAATGAGAAACATATCATTTATTTCTAGCTATGCTTATTGGTGTTCCTATAATGAGTAAATTAATTGGAATGAGGGATACTTTAATCGTTGCAGTTGGTGCTATAGCGCATGCAAGTGCCAGAATTATTTTTGCTTTAGCCTCTGTACCAAAATTATTTTATGTTGGTACGTGATATTTAAAATGTTTTTATATTTGAATAATTTAAGATTAAATATTGATCTTTTCTTTAGGAGCGGCTGTTGCAGCTTTAGGACCTATCGTTGCACCGGTATTAAGATCAATGACTTCTAAACTTGTTCCTGTAGAAGAAAGAGGTACTTATAATGTAATATATATTTTATTAAAATATAGTGATATATTTGTAATTGGAAACATCTGATTTAGGTAAAGTATTCGCTATGTTATCTGTTTGCGATAATGCAGTACCTCTCTTCAGTGGTATTTTATATTCTCAACTTTATAATTTAACAATTAACACAGTTCCTAGTTCCATTTATTGGTTAACATTTACTACTCAAATTATGGTGCTTTTATTGATCTCGTAAGTAAAATTAATATTCACGTTTCTTTCACTTGGAATTATCGTTATATTACTAACTTTTTTATTTTTATATAGTATAATACATTTCTCATCTAAAAACGAGCATGTACAAGAAAAAAATGACGAAGAAACAACTGTTCAAAGTTATTCAGAAGCCGATATGTCTACTGATGATGTATTGAATCATAACATTCATTTACAATAAGTATTTTTCCAATTAAAAATAGATTTTATAGTTTCGATATATTATCTAATATATTATGTTTCTATCGTAAAGAGACTTTTTAATTTTTCATTGACGTCTCGATTAATATAGTCGGAGAATTATATTATTTTTATATATTAAAAAAAAATCAAATTTAACATAACGAGAAAAGGAAAAAAAATGGTAAAAATGCAAGTTTTCTCTTGTATTTTCATTAAACAGTAACTGTTGACTTGTTGAATAATGATTATGTACAATTTTTTTAAGAAGAAAAGCGTTGAACTATAGAATATATTTTTTAGCAATTATATTCCGATTAATTAATATAACAATATCAATTGTAAATTACAACAGACAAATATTCCAGATGAATGGAAGATTTCTGAATAAATTTTATGTATGTATAATTCTTAATTATACATCACGTATTGATATTTAATTTACGGTAAAATATGAATCATCGATTTAAAGTGTTTTAACAAATCGCATAATAATGATCAGGATGAATCAGAAGAATGAGCAAAAACATTTAACGTAAATGCCGTAAAAAGAAACACAACATACATATGTCATTAGTGAATATTAAATGGTTTCGAGATAAAAAAATAAGATATTAGCGGTAATTCAAAGAACGAGATGATTTATCTGGAAATTTGATTTTGTCTTTTTAACACACGTTCATTGGCATCATCGATTTTATATAAAATTTATTTTTTACTTGCCGATCACATTAAAAGTAAAATCAAAAAGTCGATTTGTATACATCATGCGTCTCATATATTTCAAGTATGTCAAGGCATCATCAATATTTTATTGTTTAGATATTATTCTCTAGATTGCCAAATTTTTGCGGTAACAAATAAGAAAATAATATTGTTATTATTTATATATATTTGTTCCTTATTATTCATCAAATAAGTTTACTTGGAAAAAATGAAAAAATTGCATAAATAATGTTAAATAAAATGTTAAGATTTTAGTAATTTTTAGGTTTAAATTAATAATCTAAGTTTTTTAGTTGTATGTATAAAATAAAGAAAAATTTAATTGTAAATATCGAATAAAATGTTGATATTACAAACGAAATTGAAAGCAGTGTTAATAAAAATACTTTGTTCGAAAAGTAAATATATTTTGTTAATCTTCATCATAGCATATTTTCATATTCAATCGACGTATTGAAAAGCGCGCGTTGCATAAATGATATATTCACGCGAACATATGATTTCTTGTATGTGTGTTTTAATGATTTAACAATAAATATATAATTTTATTTTAAGCTATCACAACGATGCAAACGAAATTAAAAAAAACATTTGCTTAATTTTTCTGTTCATTTTATACATCGATTGTCTCTTTTATTTTTTCTTTCAAATAAAATTTTGGAATATAAATTTTTATTTATATTAATAATAGATCGCGTTCAAATTCGTTAGAGAGACAATAGTATTTACCATTTCTCTGATTACAATATGTCAAACCGATAAAAATTGAAATCGCGGACGAGACAAAATGGCGAATCTAAATGAAAGTATCGGCGTATCTATTTTTTTTCCTACACATAAACAACCTCCCACTTTGATTATTTTGTAATGTACGTAGTAAATATACATAATATATTCCTTCAAAAGTATTGGTATTGACCTAAATAGGAGTCTTCTACTTACCAAAAAATCAACTGATTATATTGCAGGTATAAAAGTCCTGCAAAATTCGTTCGTAATAAATATTCGTAGAAGTAATCATAGAGAAGAAAAGAAACGAAAAAAAAAAGAGAAGAAGAAGAAGAAGAAATTGAAGAATTTGTTCAACGTCTGTGTGCTTACTAAGAAAAGTTTCTTCCGGAGAAGACAAAAATTACCATGGTAAAATACGTATAAAAATTAATACATTATTCAAGTTGCATCTTCTATCGTGTGTATCTTCGAAGAATTTTAAATTCGATAAATATACACTTTAACGATACGTAAATATATATATATATTTACTAACGGTTACAATAAACATTTGTTACTTTTATTTTGTTTCATTAAGCGTGTGATAAATATATTGCAACTGCAATAATACGAATTATAACAAATAAGAATAAATATATAATCAAACATAAGAGATATAAATCGGAACAAAAAGAAACAATTGATTTTTCAATGATATATCTGAAATACGATTTTGTACGTTTGATATATTTTTTCTATATATACGTTTTTTTTTTAAAATAATCATTTTTTTTTTTTCATTTTAATTATTAAATTAACATCTTTGCGATCGATGTTGTTTCACAATTTCTTTTATGAATCATATTTAATCTTGTCACATTTAATTTTTCGTAAATGATCGAAATAATTTCTTTTTTTTTTTGTAAAAGTGAAAGAAGGATTAAAAAGAACAAATTGAAAAGAGAAAATGATAAGGAGAGAAAGTCGATGACTTTTCAACGCACACGAAGAACGCAACGTATAATTGTCCCGAAAGAGTAATCAAACTTTAATATCTATTACGTGTCTCTACAAAAACAGTATAAGAATGTTGTTTTTATATTTAAACTCTTACAACGCACTGTCTGACGAGTTTTTCTTTTGTTTTAATATTTAAAAAACTATATATTATCTGTGTATAGGGATACTATATTGCCAGTTCCCATAAGTGGGAAGCATATAGATTGAAGCGAGATAGAGAAAGTTAATTTGTACGTATGGTGTGTTGTTCGCAAGTGATTAAATATAATATATTAAATCATTTAAAATCGAATATAAGAGATTTATTAATAAAATTATATAAATATTAAATTTAAATATATATTTTAATAACGATATAAGAAAAATAAAATTGTTAAATCTTTCACACACAGGAATATATTTAATTTATTAAATATATATATATATATATATGTATATGTGAGAATTAATTTATTAATCGTTAAATCAATTTTTGTTTGTTAACGTATCGAAATACATAGCACGGAACGCATCAAGTGAGAGTTAACGAAAGGCTAAAACATTCTTTTCAGATTTCACTGAGAAAGTTCTTGACTATTGCCGTTCTAACGATTCTAACAATTTTGTCTTGTACTCTGGTGAACTCTGCGTCAACTTTTAAACCAATAGCAGCAAGAGCCATAATATTTAATCCCACATTTCAAAGACCACCATATGCGCTAAATCCATGGTATTATCCGAGATCATTTCAAACGCAATTATCTAATCGTTCGTAACAAAAAAAAAGAGACAATTATGATTAAATATTACAAATATAATTATATAAGATGTGATATATTAATATTATTATTAAAATATATAATTTTGCGAATAGACCAGAGTTTCTTTTTTTTTTTGTAATTTTGTATTTTTTTTTTAACATTGATATATTCAAACTAAATCTACTCAATTTCATATTATTGACAGTCGAATAAAGCTTCCTGTATAACTTGACCTAATTAAACTATTAGTTTCTTGTAAGATCTTAAACGTAATGCGATGAATCGACAAGTTTAAGGTTTACTCGATTACAAATTAAAGTTAAATCATATGCGTCTTACAATTCATGCAATATATATTACATTTTTATTTAACCATAACTCGTACATCATAAATTTGAAAATTATGCGTAATCTATCGTAACTTGTTAAACTGATTAGAAATTAGAATTATTGCAACAATTACTGATACAGAGCAATAAATTAATTAATTTTAGAAAAATAAATGTACAATTGATTAAATTTATTCAAACATGGTGGGGAAGGAAGGAAGGGGCTTTTGTTTTACTTGAAATTCAACGTAACACGGTTCTACCTTTGAGTTCGTTCTTCTGGAAACAAAAGGGGGACGAAGCGAATAGGTTTTATGCAACACAACGAGATTAAATTGTGTAAAAATACAATGGACTTCCGTGACGGTCAACAATTCTCTCATTTCCCATTGATATTTTCTTCTTGTTTTCCTTTCCCACATTTGTTTTTTATTTATCTTTGATTCGTCATATATAAAAAAAAAACAAAAACAAAAACCCAATTACTACTTATCCAATTTTATCAAACTAATATACAAACAAATTAAATTTATAATATAGTATGAGTTACAAAGTTTTTCAAAAAAATCAATTACTATTTTAAACATTATTATTAATACAAAAAATTACATTATATTACAAATTAATTCTTGATTTTGTTACAAACCAATATGCTTTATAAACAAACAACAAAATCCACGTCCATTTTTATTTCTTTTTTTTTGCTCAAAATTCATAAACAATTTTGTCTTAAAAATTGTTCACGTCAACTTGTAAAAATATGAAAAGCTTTTTCAACGCAACATTTAAAATATAACAATAATGTGTCATTATATTCGTATAGGTAAAGATTCTAACGTTTTAATCGATAATGATCGATTTATCTATCTATCTATTTATCTATCTATTTATCTAACTTAAGAATTCTCGTGTATAAGACAGCAGGTTCATGCAGTTTGACCGCTATTCATACCTCGTTTTGCTTTCATCGAGCGTACTATACTACAAACATATATATATATATACGAGACCATAACTAGCTACGTAATTTCGAGCGGGAGACAAAATAACGAGACAGTAAGAAGGCTTACACAGATTGGCAACGAACGCAGTATTGAATTGGAAACTTTCGAGAGAACATCATATGCGTTTACTATTATAACACGTTACACCAATCGAGAACTTGTAAAACGTTGCAAGGTCTTTTCATAATATTTTCTTTTTTTTCTTTTTTTTTCCTTTTTTCTTACATCTCATTCACACGTATAATCAATTGACATCTTCGATTTTGATCGAAGTTATCGATCATTATGAAATATTTTCATATTGTTTTTATTTGATTTTATTTTGTTATTGTGATAATAATAATAATAATAATAAAAATAGGAAAAGAGTTTTGAGTTTTCGCGATCATAATAATATTGAACGTTTGATATAATCAAAATTGATAAGGAACATTAATTATCATGCGATTGAAAATGATCGGAAGATTATTTATTATATTTCCATTACTGATATGGATCATCACGGATCAAACCCTAGGACAACCAAACGAATCTGTGCCTTCAATTATCTTAGGTGGCATTGAAAATGTTGCTTCTAGTGCTACCAATTTTCGTAAGTTCTTATCTATCTTATATTTTTTTCATTTATTATATATATATATATATATAGGATTATTATTAAATAAATAGTTTTTTTTTTTTTATTTATGATGTTTGACTTACATTAAACGATATCGAAAAAAGTTTTACAAATATTTTCTCGTACGATCTCTCGTATAATTAGATGAACATATTATCGTTAAATAGATTACTATCTATTACTATTAATACAAAATCGAACAATCTATTTGTTCATAATAATCGTTGTCATTCATTCTCGATGACTTTAAATTTTTTTTATTAAAGTGTAAAATTGTTTCTAAATATAAAAGAGATGAAATATTTAATATTAATAATAATAACATTTTTTATATCCACAAATTGTAAAATGTAAAAATGTATTTTAACTCGTAGACACAGATCGATCGATATCAGAAATCATTGTGTAACAATACTGAAGCGGAATAAAGTTATTCAATTGGAAAATATTTCTTCTAGATATTTTGAATGCACAAGATATATAAGTATATAAATCTTATATATGTATTTACTCTCGATACACGTATTACGTATTGTAATTACGTTTATCTGATAGTTCGGTACCCACACATTTACAATTATTATATACAATGAAACTAGTTTCAACTATCGTTACGAAGATAAAATCATTTCCAATATTATTTTGAGATATATATTAATCGTCGAAACACCAATTTCTTAATTAATTTTTATATACGTACAAATTTAATTTCTTTTTTTTTTTTGGTAATTATAAATATTATATATTATAAATAATAGTTAAGCGTGCAGAGATCACGTTAATAATATTTTGTTTCAATAAATTAATGTCAATTATTTTGTGTGGTTGATATTAAAATTGTATTTTTCTTTGTATGATAAATTATAAACGCTTAGATTATGTCAAGCATGTTTTTTTTAAGTTGACAGTTATATTATAGTGAAGTCATTTGATGACAATTATTTGTTAATAGAAAATATCGAACTTTTATTCCTTTTATCTCTATTTCTCTAATGATAAAAAATAATTACGTGTGTGTGTGTGTAAAATGAACAAAAAAAAATGCTTATTAATATTTACATATCTATCGATTACTCATAGCGTTTCTTTTTTTTACACCGTTATGGTATACTTCGTACAAACGTTAACAATTTTCTTTTCAGTACGTAATATATGATTCGTTTTTTCTTTCTTTTTTTTCTTTTTATCACGTTCGTGTTGGAAACAAATTAGTCATCCATGAAAAATTAGAAAAATATTCATCTTGAATGAAACGCGTCTTCGTTTAATGATAATTTCTTTAGATTAAAAGATACAAATTTTGTAGCAAAGATATAATTATCATGTTACCAATTATTAATATCATTTAACATATTTTTATTCATAATTTTTATAACATAATATTTATTATAATTATTCTACAAAATATATCTGGAATTAAATTGAAATTGAATTTAAATCTCTCTCATTTAAACTCTAGTTAATTAATTCTTCATAATATTTAATCTTTAACAAAACTCATTATATTAACATCAATATTGTTAAACGTTTACAAAAGTAAATGTAAATTATTTTAAATTAAATTTAAATTCATAATTCAAATTCATTTAAATACCATTTATTCTCTATATTTAACCCTTTAAGCTATTTCTTTTCTTCAGATTGTTAAACTACGAAAAAAATCTAATTGTAAGATTAAAAAAATTATTTATAAAAAAAATAATAAAGTTTTGTGCAATCATTTAGGAAAGGTTTGATTTATCTTAGAAATTGTTGGGACCTTTCTGGACCCCACTTTAGTGACCTTTGAACCACTCTAAATATATATATATTATATATTATACATGTACATTTTGATTTATTATTTTTAGTCAAAGATAACGACCCAAATAGTCGAGTCAAAGGTGCAACTATCTGTTGCAGTATCCAGAGTCGTGAAACGACAGAAAGACCTGTTGCATCGCATGACCGATACCGCTACGGATTACAGTATGTTGCGTGCATTATGATCAACAACAACAAACAAAAATATGATCATTAGTACGGCTTATAGATCCTCCCTTTTATACAAATAGAAACACGTGCCGAATAAAACAATCACGTGTGTGTATAAATGTGTGCGTGCCCGTGTGCGTGTGTGTAATTTGCTTCCTCATAGATTTTATTTATTTAATTGAAGGGAAATAAAAATGACATAACATAACAAAACCAAAAAAAAAAAAATCAATCAAAGTATTCTTGCGATTTGAAATTACGTAATGCTCGAGGAAAAAAAGATCATTGATTTATTGAAAAAATAATAAAATAAAAACCAAAACGCGAATGTGACAGATACCCCTTCGGAATATTATTGGAAATTATTTTTTTTTCGAAAGTATTTCTTCTATATTAAACTATCTAATGTGATGAAATTGTTTGGCAATAATTTGAAATGTTAAACTATTAAATCATTAGACTCGAGATTATTATTTTGCAATAAGTCAATGCATCGATCACGCAAATTGCATGTTGGAAAGTGGCATTTTTCGCACTGGCCTTTGCTCTTCGAGTCATTTTGTATACATTTCGTAATGAAAATAATAAACAATTACAAAAATAATATGTAACGACAAGGTGTGATTTACAATTTCGATATATCGAACATATTTATCAAGAAACATTACATATTCGTTAATTAAATAAAGAAAGTACGAGACATTTGGATGATAATTTCTATTTGCAGAATCACATTATTCATTTTCATTCATATTTATCAAAATAAATATCAAAAAAAAAATCTATATAATACTATAATTGTGATTATGATTCCTATTTTTAGAAAATTTCAAATAACATCAAGAATAAAAAAAAAAAAAAGAAATGTTTCCAATTTCGATGACAATGAATTTGTAAATATATATCGAACAATATTAATTACGTTATAGGATTGACATTATATATTTTCCTAATTTGGATTTTAATTCGCTTATTAACACGCTTATAAATATATAATATATCAGCTCAAATAGCTTTCGAATAAAATCAAAATAAGAATAAATTCTGCGGGGGTTGTTATGCGATAAAGATTATTATTTAACATTTGCGATATTATTATTATTATTATTATTATTATTATTAATCATTCATAAAATTCAATTTACTTCTTGTTATTAATTTTTGCTTGTTTTTTTGTTTTTTTTGTTTTGTTTGTTTCTTTTAGTCGTCAGTGCAGTGGAAAGACCGAGAAATTTATTGATCAATGCGACCAGAGCTACTACAGGAATTAGTGAGTAAATAATAATAATGATAATAATAAATATTGCAACTTTTAATTGAGTAATACGCATTAATAATACTTCGAAGGACAGTCGATAGTGCAGCATCCAAAGGATTAGAATTTAAACTTCGTAGATTCATTGAGAAGTTTCGTTCACGAATGCGTTATGGTATACCGGAATTGGATATACCACCCCTTGAACCATTCAATCTCGATGGAATTCGCATCGACACTGATAATCCGGAAATTGGAAAGTACGTAACGTTTTTGATTTCATATGAATTTCATAGCTTTCAAAGGAATTACTCGCTAGTATAATTACGAGTTTGTTACTTTCTAAAATATCTTGCCACTAAACTCGCGGTCTAGTGTCAACATAAAATATTTATCTTATGTATACATATTTTTTTATTTTTTTTTTAATAATAAATTAAATATAAGTTTCATCGAAAAAGGATTTATTTCTTTTTGTTCCTTCTCAAAAATGAATTCAACGAAAATGATGTTATTGTAAAGATTTAAAAAAAAAAGAAAAAGAAAAACATTCTATCGTGCACATAGATCAATGTGTTGTTTTCGTATTAATTAATAATGCATTTCATTTGCAGTGTTAGTGCCGTTATCACAGATTTGACACTTTACGGATTATCATCATTCCTGATTGAAAGTGCAAAACTCTCTCTGATTGGTCCAACAATCTCCGTAAATCTTCTATTTCCGGAACTTTATGCAACCGGTAATTACAACATATCCGGTATACTCGGTCACATGTTTGCGCTGTTTGGTTCTGGTCCATTCAAAGCAACGATTTACGAGTTTCGTCTTAAAGTGACAGTAGTTGTTGGTTATTCAAGGGGTTTGTATATCAAAGATTTCGATTTTGACTTTACATTGACATCAGTTTTGTTCGATATCGAAAATTTTATGGGTGGCGATGAAATTGGCAGGATCATGAACAAGGTAAGATTATTATTATTACTATTATTATTATTAAATACGCGAAATCACATGATCAATCTTTTATCATAAACACAGATATCTTATTATATTAATTACTATTAAATAAATATATATA